GCTGCTTCCTAATTAATAACTGACGTAGTTAATACAGCTTCTCTTCAAGTCACAGATGTGCAACCTCCGTGTTACACACAGGAAGCTGATGTTCAGAGTTTACTTTTCTTGTTAGGTTTTCTGACCCCCCTGCCAGGACTCTTCCCGGGCTGTTTTCTCTCTCCAGAGGGATTCAGGAGAAGGCTTTGAACATGCCATGGCCAAGAGTTATTTAACCCCGGCTGTGGATGTCTAGTTGTCCTTCATTCTGCTTAGAGGCAATGACCTGTACAACGTTGGTTTAATGTTTTTTTTTTAGTTTGATGTTTTGACATGGAGCCGAATATACAATCAATTAAAAAAGGAAACCTTTTTTCCTTTTTCCTGGCTGGTGTGGCTCAATGGATTGAGTGCCGGCTTGTGAACCAAAAAGTCTCAAGTTCGATTCCCAGTCAGGGCACATGTCTGGGTTGTGGGTTAGGTCCTCAGCTGGAGGCGTGTGACAGGCAACGGCACACTGATGCTTCTCTCCCTCTTTCTCCCTGACTTCCTCTCTCTCTAAAAATAAGTAAAATCTTTTAAAAATATATTTAGAAAAAGAAAACCAATTTTCACAAATGTTTTTATGGTAAAGAAGGTCCTAAGTTGTTGAATAAGAAATTTTTTAAATAGCCAGTAAATAAACTTTAATGAATTACTTATATATAAAAATTATTTTAATTTTAATTACATATTAAAGTAATATATACATGAATTACATGATATAAATTGATATACTAATAAATCTATAAAGAACTTTATAATTAACAATCAATAAACTTAGATATTAATATATTAGTATATTAATATATATTTTTAACCTCCCTGAAGTTACTTTAAATGTTTATGAAATAATTTTACCATGTTTTCCTTGTCTTTGTATCTCATTAATATATTTTAGTACCACGGTTTTCTGACTAATTTTTTTCCCTACAGATATATTAATTAGGAAACTTTACATAAGTGTACTCTGTCCCATCTATATTAACCTTGAGATTCCTCCTTTCTCATGGTTGGTTTGGCATTGATATAACTTTGCCTGCTCAACGTTGAACTCCTTAAGCCTTTTTCATAACATCTTTGTCAGCATATATTGCATTTATAACGCACATGTAAGATTCTCCTATTGGAAGTATGCAGCTCAGGGGTTTTAGCAGAGTTGTGCGCCTATCACCACGATCCTTGTCTATTGGAAAAAAATAAAGTGTTAAGATTTTGTTTTTTCTTCTTTGTGAGGCCCTCACATTTTGAGGAGTATCAACCACTACTTCTGTAACAGGGGTGGCAAATTTTTTTTTCCTGTAAAGGTGGGATAGTGGCTATTTCAGCTGTGAGGGGTGGGGCTGGAGCCTTTGCCAGCTGCTCAGCTCTGCTTTGTAGAGCAAGTGCCATAGATAATATGCAAATGAGAGAGCAAGGCCATATGCCAATAAAATTTTATTGACAAAAGCAGGCGGGTACGCTGCCTTTAGCCATCCTTGATCCACAACTGCTGTGTTTGGTTTTGCTTGAGCCGGTCTTGTGTCATGCTTTATAATAATCACCCTTAAAAAAAAAATTCATCCGTGCTGTTTTCTGGGCTTTCTATCTCTTGCAGGTGTTGTTTTCCTGTCCTGGTCTCTCCAGTTAATCTAAAAGTATACAGGCATACAGACTGTTTGACATTTTACTAGTGGTTATGTGTGTGTGTGTGTGTGTGTGTGTGTGTGATATATATTATACATGTATTTTGCCGTGTATAATGCGCATTTTTTTGCCCAAATTTTTGATGGAGAAATAAGAATGTACATTATACATGGATAGTACTAATTCCATATCTATATATAAATGTTTTTAATTCTTTTATTTATGCTTATGCATTAAAAGTTTAACTCTAGGAAGCAATAATGATATCCGTATGCAAAATAACACCCTGGAATACAATAATTGGTTTTGCTTCTAAATATAAATAAATAATTGGATTAAAAAATAAAACAAAAGATTTTTTCCCTGAAAGTTATACACAGCAAAATATGATAGAGAGAGAGTGATTCTTTTAAAAAACATATTGATCTTAATTTTGCCAATTATCATCATCTATGAAACTGCATCTAACACTGACTGGTGTGGGTCAGAGGACTGAGTCCCGGCCTGTGAACCCAAAGTTTGCCAGTTCAGTTCCCAGTCAGGGCACATCCCTGGGTTGTGGGCAGATCCCCAGCTGGGGGTGTGTGAGAGGCAACTGATTGATGTATCTCTCACACATCAGATGTTTCTCTCCCTCTCTTTCTCCCTCCTTTCCCCTCTCTCTAAAAATAAATAAATAAAAGCTTAAAAAAAATAAACAGTACCTATTGATTCTGGCAATAAAAGTTGAACATACTGAATTAATGTCACCTGCAGGGGTGAGTCTCAGCCTCGACAATGCAGGAAGGGCAACTTAAATTTCAGAAAAGAAGCCAGTTACAAAATCCATGGTGAAATCAAGAGATTTCCTGTATGTTCCAGACATAATCATCTAGAAAATTTAATGGAAAAAAAGGCATCATGGTCACAACCAAAAATAACTAAAAATTAATTTTAAAAGAAATGTGCAGATATGAAATGTCCAGAAGAGGCAAGTCCTCAGAGACAGGAATGATTCCCTGTTGCCAGAGGGAGGGAGTAGAAAGTGACTATTGATGGGGACTGGGCTTTTTTGGGGGAACTGAAAATGTTCTAGAATTTGATGGTGATGGTTGCACAACTCAGGCAATGTCCTAAAATTCACTCAGTTGTGCACTTTATGTATGTATGTATGTATGTATGTATGTATGTATTTGTAGAGAGAGAGAGAGAAAGGAAGGCAGAGAAAGAGATAAAAGACCGGTTGTATTGTTCTACTTATTAATACATTCACTGGTTGATTCTTGTATGTGCCCTGACCAGGGATTGAACCCACAATCTATGTCCAGAAAATGCTCTAACCAACTTAGCTACCTGGCCAGGGCCTCAATTGTGCACTTTAAAATGGTGAATTTTATGGCATCTGATTTATAGCTCAATTTAAAAAAATTATATGAGCAAGAAAAAGAAAGAAAAACAAAATGTGCAGAACCCCGCAGGATGGAAACGGCAAAAGCATACGCACAGCTGGAATAAATGGAGAGGTACGTGAGGCTCCTGGGGACAAATCTATGTCCCAGAGTGAGAACCTGGGCCTATATTATTTCCCAAATTTACTATTTTCACCAAAAGTCCAGAGGCAATTTTTTCATTTTTAAAAAATTTTATGTATTTTTAGAGAGAGGGGAAGGGAGGTAGAAAGGGGAAACATCGATGTGTGGTTGCCTCTCATGCGCCCCCTACTGGGGAGCTAGCCTGCAACCCAGCCATGTGCCCTGACTGGACATTGAACTGGTGACTCTTTGGTTCTCAGACCAGCACTCAGTCCCCTGAGTCACACCAGCCAGGGCCTAGAGGCGATTTTTAAAAACCTTAAAGTAACTCTAAATTTCACTTGGACTATGAATAAGATGCTATTCTAAGTATAATAATATTATTACAATCCCATGTACAATATTACTATGCCAATTATTTAAAATAGTTGAGAAAATATAAAAACAATAATAATAATGAGGAACTTATATTGCCAGATATTAAAATTAACTCTGTAAGGTACATTAAAACTGGAGGTGGGATAGGCATACTCCTACAAAACCCAGAAACAGACGTCTGTGTAAATAAGTAGCCTTCTGATCTCTGTAGAAACATCGCATGGTGCTGAAATGGGGATTCACTTGTTACTGAACAAATAAAGATTTCTAGAGAGTCTTCCCCCAAACCATACATGGAAATTAAACTCTCTAATTTAACCAGTGTTTAATGTAAATAGAAATAAAACCATGGAGAACCAGAAGAAAATGGAGGTGAATATATTTACATTAAGGGCTTCCCCAACCCAAGTCTATAAATTTATCACCAAGGGTAGAAACCATTAAGGAAAAGAGTGACCAAATATAAGAATGTAAAAAAAAAAAAAAAAAATGGAGGAGAGAGTATGTCCAAGTGATTATAAACAAAGTTAAAGACAAACAAGAAACCAGGAGAAGTTTGTGTAACGTATATGATAAATTATATATAGAAAAGATTTTATAAGTAAGTATATAAAAATATAAGCCCTTATGTAAAGAATTTTGATAAACGAATAAGAAAAAAACACACCCCAATGGAAAATTACAAAGGATGTGAATTGGCAATGTAAGAGATCAACAACGCATTATTATAGTGAGGATTTGTCCTATCAAACTGATAAATGACACAAGGCCTAATGTCCAGCATTGGGAGGAAGATGCGGGAAAATAGAAACCAAGAAACATGTTGATAGAGGTGTAAATTGGTACCACTTAGGTGGAGGGTCCTGTACAATCTATCAAAAACACCCTCTAAGGTAATTCCTCTGGACACCAATTTTGGTGGTTTATCTCTGGCAATAATTAGGGATATTTATAAAGATTTGACTGGAGGAATATTTATTTTCTCTAACATAATGGCTACAATTGAGAGAGGATTCGTGCCCTGGCAGGTGTGACTCAGGTGGTTGGAGCACTGTTCCTTACACCGAAATGTTGCAGGTTCGATTCTTGGGCAGGGCGCATACCTTAGGTTGTGGGTTTGGTCCCAGTTAGGGCGTGTGTGCAAGGCAATCGATCGATGTTTCTCTCATATGGATGTTTCTCTCATATGGATGTTTCTCTCTCTCCCTTCCTCTCTCAGTTAATATATCCTTGGGTGAGGATTTAAAAAATATATTAAAAGAGAGAGAGAGAGAGAAAGGAAATTCATTAAGCTATGGGGCACCCATAAAATGCATGGTTCTCAACAGAGAGGCAAGTGTATGTGTACCCGGGCGTGTCCAAATGGCCTAGGCTTCCCCAGTGCTGACTGGCCCATGTCACCCAAGTTTGCCCCCCTTTCATTCTATGCTCCCTTTCTTGTTGGAAGTCATGATGAGGACCTGCCTAGTGTTATATGAAAGAAGTTTAGCCCTTCCCTTGACGAGGATGGAAGAGGTGCTCTGGACTTAAAAAAGAAAAAAAGAAAAAAAAAAAAGAGGAACCAGTCTCTACCTTGACTTTCATTGTGACTCAGGAACTGCTTTTAGAAGCTTTGCTGAGGTAAAAGTTTCCTGCCGTGGTGGAAATGGGAGACTATCAAGACCCACTGATGGGCTGAACAGACACATGTAACCGGTGGCTGCCCTATTGAACACCGTGGTTCCAGGACAATGCCTGCCCCAGTGTGGAAACTTCCAGTAACAGGGGGTACCTGATCTTCTAGGATGCCCCCACTGAGTTCTTGAGTTTCTGGAAGAACATCTCTGTCACATACATCAGAGGTTGCCCTCTGCCTGGTTCTACCTTTCTTTGTCCCATTTATTGGCTGTGATGCTCCAAACCCATAGCCACTCCTAAATGACAGCCCCTTGGGGACTGGCCAGGTGGGACGATGGCCAGCTAGTCTTGTCCAAGCTGAACACTACTGGTCCTTCTATCAACACCTGTCTGACTAGATGTCTAGGAACCAGTACCTGCCCCTCATTACCTCTCCTGGTAGGACAAATTTTGGGGTGAACTGTCCTGTTAGGATGAGTGACTCTCAGGGAGGAGTCTTTCAGAAGCTCACCTCTAATTCTTGTGTTCCAGGAGCCCCAGTTAATGGGTCCCAGGGTGTTCTGTGTGCAAAGCATTTCTTTCTAAAGGGTGTATGGCTTCCCTATGGCTGCTGTAACCAATGACCACAAATTTAGTGGCTTAAACAATATAAGTGTATTTCCTTAGAGTTCTAGGGTCAGGAGTCCGACGTGGGTCTCATGGGGCTAACCCAGGTGTGGGCAGGGCTGGTCCTTCCTACAGCTCCAGGGAGGACCATTTCCAGACTTTTCCAGCTTCTACAGGGGCCGCATCCCTGGCCCGTGGCCCCTTCCTCCATCGTCACAGCCAGCAGCGCAGCCTCTTTCATCTCTGACTCGGACCCTCCTGCCTCCCTCTTGTGAGGCCCCTGTGAGGACATTCTCCCACCTCTCTCCTGGCAATTCCAGCGTCATCTTCACCTCAGGGGCTTTACTCAACTTAATCTGTAAAGTCACTTTACCATGGGGGGGTGACATGTCCACGGGTCCCCAGACTAGGATGAGGACATCTTTGGGGGATGTTATTCCAAATGACAATAACAGCTCCCCAGTTCTTAAACTGGTCCTGGAAATCATTGTGATATATTTGCAAATCAAAGGGTAAGGAGACAATGGCTTCTTTAGAAAGTATTTCCAAGTTAACGGGGAATTAATTCACTTTGAAGAAAGGCCTCTCCCTTCCCACGGAGTCAGCACGCCCCCTGGGGGCCAGAAGCCACACTGGGCTCACAGGTTCCTGGCCGTCCGTTCACCCTGCAGCTCCCTGTGGCCCTTGGCTTCCAGCAGGCGCCTCTTCCTCACCTGCTCCTGTGCCAGAAGCATGGCCTGTAACCCGCCTTCGTGAAAGACCAGATCCGGCTGGCTCTGGAACAGTGACATTTTACAAATGAAAGGAGCCCCTGAGAGTAAGGTGTCTGCTCCCATTTTTCACATGAAAGCAAAGTTTGAGGGTCACTTTGTCTTGTGTTCCAGGTTGCAGGGCTAATTAGTAAGGGCTGGAACAGAAACACTCCTCTGTTCCCTCTCAATTAATTCTTCTGTATTCAGTCCAATATCTTCTGGAAACTTCTCTCATGTGGCAAAAAGGCAAAGACAATGGGAGAGTGAAGTCTACCTTTTCTGTGGTGTTTCTTGACCTATTTTTGACACTTTTGACCTAATTGTCCCCACCCGGCACCCCATGAAATTCTAACTCACCCCCATTCTGCATATCTGATTATCGATTGGGGGTGCTCTGGCGGACTACGAGCCATTGTGACATCTATTTCCTCACCATTTGGGCGTGGATGACAGCACCCCAGTGACAATGACAGTGATGTGTCCTGACACCAGGCCCTCCTGCTAGAAGACAAATGACAGCCAGCAGCAGCGGGTACAAAAATGGCACAATTTATTCTGATGTTCACATGCGAACACCTGCAGGCACATGAGGGGAGGGAGGGGCCCTTCTCGCCCTACAGTCCCCGCCACCTTCCCCAACCTGGCCTGGCTGAGGGAAAAGAGCTGGTGGTGACCGGGGTGGGAATATAGTGGTTTTGGTGTTTGGCTGTGGTTTTGTATTTAAAAGGAGGAGCTATATTTGATCGGACGGTTTTCTGTAGTCCTGTGGGGTCTGTGTGCCCAGGGATCTGAGGGCTGGACCTGGTGGTGTCCGCTGCACTCCTTGGTGTTGGGTGATGGAGCCCCTCTATTCTGCGGGAATCCCAGGCGCCGAGGTCCTCAGAGGCAGGTGGGTAGGAAGAGCTGCCAGTCTGGTGCCCCAAGGGCAGGGGGCCTGGAGCAGCATGTGGCTTCCTCATGTCACTTCCATGCAGCCGCATGTGGGTTCCTGGTCATATGCCCCAATGTTTTGTGGAAAGACAGTGCTAGGACTCTGGTCCCCTGGCCACAGAGGGTCACATCAAGGGTTTCATGTAAATTGGGCAGGCACATTAAGAAAGGCCAGGTTCAAAGACCCCAAACCCGAGAGACGCTCTATGGGAGGGTCATCCTGGGTTATTCATCATGGAGGGGTATTTGTCTAGAGGGGAGGTGAGTTCACTATTTACAGATAAAAAGCTGTTTTCTCTTAACATCTCAAGGTGGTTGTCAGTGAAATTGTATAAAAACTCAATCATTATGATATGTGAAGGGGCCCCAGGAAATCTGGGGTGCAGATGTGGAGTCTGGGAAACCCTGACAGATGAGCCGAGTATCTTGGAGGAACTGAAGGAACAGAAGGAGACTGAGGAAGGGAGGAGGGAGGGGAAGGGAGTCAGGGCTACGTTGTACCTCTTATGACACGGACATGGGGCTACAGGAAGCAGGCTGTGGGGAAACTGAGGCTTGAAGGCACAGCAGAGGCGGGCTCCTGTCTTGCTGACCCAGAGCCTGTGTAGTCTGTTCTCTCCCAGGCCAAGCACGCTGGGGGCATTATGGGACAGGCTCATGAAGGGAAGGTAGAGCTCCAGCCTCCAGGCAGACCCAAGTGCTTTATAGATAAAGTGGATTTTCCTAGTTGTTTGCAGCGCACAGAATCAGAGTTCAAGTTCAATCTTCCCCTGTGGGACTCTCGGAGGCTGGGCCTGCTGTCACCTCAGAATCAGAAAAAGGGCTCAACCCCAGTGTCCAGTGCAGCATTGGGGGCACAGAGGTTACCATCTGACCACTGCGGAGGTCAATGACCTGCTGGGGCAGAAACACAGTCCACGTTCCAGGGAGGTGGCCCTCAAGTCAGAGTGTCCCCTGGGACTGCCTTGGTGACAGTGAGGCCAAGGGGCTCTCAGTGGCACATCCGTGCAGTCATTTCTTTCTGTTAAAAACAAGCAGGATATCAGATATTGACACAAAAGGTGAAGAAATACCCCCCAACCCCCCAAAAAAACAACAGGAGATGCAATCTCAATAGATTCACGGACCTCATTTAAGGCCAAACATTACAGTAAAGGGAACAAGGCCCTGGCTGGTGTGGCTCAGTAGATTGAGCGCCAGCCTGCTAACTTAAAGGTTGCTGGTTCAAATCTCAGTCAGGACATATGCCTGAGATGTGGGCTAAGTCTGCAATTGGGGGTGTGCAAGAGGCAACCAACCTATCGATGTTTCTTTTGAACATCAATGTTTCTCTCACTCTCTCCCTCCCTCCACCTTGCTCTAAAAATAAATAAATAAAATAAAATAAAATAAAAAAAAAAAGGAAATAGCAGCACACCTAGGGCTGGGGTGACAAGCTCTGTGAAGGGCCTGAGAGGTCACTTTCTCAGCTCTGGAAGCCAGAATGGTGTCTGTCTGGCTGCTCAACTCTGCCCTGAGGCTGAAAGCAGCACCAGCAGTAAGTGAACAGCTGAGTATGCTAATGAAACTATTCACCAAACCAGTTTTTTGGCCCCGTCTTTGGGTGCCCCAGTGGCCTGCTCTCTGGCCCCCTCAGTCCTTGCCCCACTCACCAGCGGCTCCAGCTCCTTGGTGTCTATGAGGCCAAACTCCTTGACAAAATAGTAGAAGTGCTTGTAGCAGGTGTTGACGTGCGCCTCGGAGCCCATCTGCGCGATGCGGTCAAAGTGGTGGATGTAGACATGCACAAACACGCGGAACAGCCGGGACAGGATCTTCTTCACCACCTGCAAGAAGTTCTTGGGGAACGGCGTGCCTGTGAACAGTGAGAGGGGCCAGGGTAGTCAGGATGCAGCCTCAGGGGTCCAGCTTGGCCCTGACACCACACTGACCTTGGACTGCCAGTGTACTAGACTGTGAACTAGTGAGGCTCAGAGAGGCTGAGACGCCTGCCCAAATTCACACAGCCCATATCCTGGTTTCCTCCTGCAGCCAAGTGTGGACTGACTGGGCGGGAGGTGTCTATCCCTGTGACGGAGCCCTTTTCTTCATGATCCGTAGCCTCCTGACCCCCACCCAGGTCTCTCATCTCCAGGGAGCCCAATGAAATGCTGTGAGAAACCCACTGCTATGATTCTTAACAACGCCCAGGGAAGGGATGAAGACAGGCCTGCGGGTAAGGCCCGCCCTCAGGGCACTGGACATCGGCCACTCTGGCCCTGCTGGTTCAGCCCTCGCTGGGAAAGTGCTGGGAGTCACACGTTCCCTCTGCCTTTGCCCAGTTCCCTTCACAGAACCCAGAACATTCCCAACCCATATCTGCCAGCTGTGGATCTGCTATGTCTACTTTGGGATCTGGCCATGTGTGTATAATTCTAGTAATATTTATTTTTCTTAACAGGATGGGAAAACCCCCAAAAACATTTCTAAAGTTTATTGATTTTTAAAAATAGTTTATTTATTTTTTAGAGAGACAGGAAGGGAGGGAGAAAAAGAAGGAGAGAAACATCAATGTGTAAGAGATGCATCTATCAGTTGCCTCTCTCAGCCCCCAAGCAGGGACCTGGCCCGCAACCAAGGCATGTGCCCTGACCGGGAACCTAACCAGTGACCTTTCGGTCCACAGGCCGGTGCTCAATCCACTGAGCCACATCAGCCAGGGCTAAATTTATTTATTTAAAAATAAATTTAAAATATTATTTTTATAATATTAAATTTGATGTATTTGTCAGAGCTTCATTGAATGCACACGCTACGTTGCACTTTCTTTTCCCGTTAACATATTTTTTAACTTTTTAAAATTGTGGTAAAATACACCCACAATGAGATTCCTTATCTGAGCCATTTTAGGCGATAGTTTGGTGGCATTAGGCTTATTCACATTGCTGTTAGCCCCCATGGGCTTCTTCCTGCTTTCCCAACCAAGACTTCGAGTCCCCTTCAACCCACAGGCAAGACAGAAGCCATGTGTTAACGAGATCCAACCAGGGCTACCAGGTAGGTGCCTGGGACCAGGACTGACAAACTAGGCCATCATTGAAGGGGGGGTGCTCAAGGGGCTGATGGATCAGGGGAGGGCACATAGATGTCGCTAACAGTGGGAAAGCCACAATGCACCAGGCACACATTCTCAGGAGATGGGACCTCAGCAGCTGGATAGCTCTGTGCTTATAAGGCCTGTGGTTGGCTGAGTAGTGGCCCAAAGAGGTCCAGGTGATCCATGTGCAGAGGCTCAAGATGTGGCATCTGCAGCAAGACCTGGACCCGTGGCCCTGACACAGGGAGCTGACAAGGCTGCTCACCACTGAGAAAGGTCCCAGATGTGTCCAGTTAAAAGGCAACTGGGAAAAGAACAGACTCTCTGTGCATGACAGGTTCAGCCTGGCCCTGCTCCCTCCTCCATATCTGGGCCCAGATGCCCCACAATATGAGAACTGATGGCTCTTTTATTCCTTCGGCTGTATTTTCTGGCAAAGGGGGTACTGGGGATCAGTAAGGGTGATGCTCGGAAAAGGGAGTGCTTTAGAGCGGCACAGCCTAGAGAAGGGCTTAGAAATGGAATCTCCAGGACTGCACTGCCCATGGTTGCAATGGTTTTCTCATGCAGGGGTTGAAATTGGGCCCACCATCTGCTTTTGTAAATAAAGTTATATTAGAATACAGACTCACCTGTTTGTTTATATAGTGTCTATGGCAGCTTTTGGGCTACATGACCGGTTTGAGTAGTTTCGAGACAAAGACCTTCTGGCTCATAAAGCCGGAAAGATATACTCTGCAGTCCTTTTTTCTTTTCCCTTAGAATTTTGTAGTTTTATTAACACAAATAGTGTGTACACAATCTGTCTATTCATTTTCTTTGCTACACAGATTGGGCCTGGGATTGGTGACTCTGCTGGCCAGCTGGGCTGCTCTTTCCACAATGACTTTGTGGTTCTTTGGGGAGACACTGTGAGCAGTCTCAGCACAGTAAGGTTTGTTGTACATCAGCCGCACTTCAAGCTCCTTGATATTGTCCGCCAGGAACTTCCAAAAGCCACCAGGCAGCATGTGCTTTCTTTTCATGTTGCTCCCATAACCAATGTTGGGCATCAAGATCTGGCCCTTGACTCTTCTGTGCACCCTGTTATCAGCGCCTCTGGGTTTCCACCAGTTGCGTTTAATTTTGACATATCAGTCTGACTGGTGCCGGATAAACTTTAACAAAATATTTTTTTTTATCCTCACCCAAGCACATTTTTTCCCCATTGTTTTTTCACAGACAGAGAGGAATGGAGAGAGAGAAACATCTATGCGAGAGAGAGAGAAGCATCGACTGGTTGCTTCCTGTATGTGCCTGGACCAGGGATTGTATGCATATTCAGACCAGAGGATAGAAACTGCAACCTAGGTATGTGCTCTGACCAGGAACCGAACACTCAGTTACCAGTTACAGGACATCACTCCAACTGAGCGACAAGGGCTAGGGTCAGATGAACTTCTTGGTCCTCTTCTTCACAATCTTGCGTCCATCTTTAAGCACATGTGGGAGTGCTTAACAACAACTCCCACGTCTTCCCTCACAGTCCTGGAGGCCAGAAGACCCATGTCAGTTTCATGGGGCTGTGGGCAGGGCTGCTTCCTTCTAGAGGGTCCAGGGAAGATCCATTTCCTGCTTTTTCTGGAAGTTGTTGGCATTCCTGGGCTATGGTCCCTCCTTCTTTCTTCTGTTGTCACATCACCTTCTCGTGTATGTGTCGAATGTCCCTCTGCCTCCCTTTTACAAAGACTCTTCTGATGAAATTTGGGGCCAACCTGGATAATCCAGAATAATCTCGCCATTTTAAGGACCTTAACATGAAGGTCCTTAACACACTGGAATACTACTTAGTCATTCACACACTGGAATACTACTTAGCCATGAAAAGGAGCGAAGCTTTGATCCTTGGTACGTGGATGAACTTTGAACACATGTGGCCAGAAACAGAAGGCCACAGACTGTGATTCCATTTATGTGAAATGTCCAGGCAAATCCAAAGGTACAGGAAGTGAATAAGGGGTTATCAGGGGCTGGGGAGGGGGATGGGGGTGACTGCTGATGGTGATAGGGATCTTTTGAGGGTACTAAAATGTTCTGGAATTAGAGGAGATGGTTATATAACCCTGGGGATCCACTAAATGCCACTAAACTTACAATTTAAATGGGTGGATTTCACAGTTTGTGAATTCTATTTCAGTATAGCTGTTATTAAAAACATGACCACTGCCCTGGCTGGTGTGGCTGGGTGGATTGAGTGCCAGCCTGTGAACCAAATGTTCGCCGGTTTGATTCCCAGTCAGGGCACATGCCTGGGTTGGGGCCAGGTCCCCAGTTGGGGGCGTATGAGAGGCAACCACACATTGATGTTTCTCTCCCGCTCTTTCTCCCTCCCTTCCCCTCTCTCTAAAAATAAATAAATAAAATCTTTAAAAACATGACCATCACCCCTAGCACACCCACGCCCCTTCCCTCCCCCTGTCCTTCCCCCGAGATGGGTTACCTCACCTTTCTCTCTCCTAAACTCCAAGGGCCCTTCTTTCGCTTCTGTAACTTGTTTCCTGAGCCCGTTCCTTTTATAGTTCACTTCTACCTCTGTTACTTTCTAAGTAAACTTTCTCTTACAGTTTGAAAAAAAGAAACATGCCCCAGCCCCAGGCTGCCCGACTCACCAACGTTGGTGGGGAAGACGTCTTCATTGTTGATCTGCACCTCGATCCAATCCATGAGCAGGTCCATGTACTGTGGGGCCGACAGTGCTGTGGGCTTGCGGAACTTGTGCTCATCCTGCCAGCGGTACTCGTACTTGGGGCCGCCTGACATGACAGGGCAAGACTGCTCAGTGCAGTCATCGCTGATGGTGCCGTAGATGAGGTTGACGCGATTGAAGAAGTCCACCACGTGCACGGCCACCCAGTCGTTGAGCTCCTCACCGGCAGGCAGCTGCACGGCCAGCTTCAGGTCCAGCCCTGCATTCAATGATGCCTGTGCCTTCTTGTGTAGCTCAAACCGCTGGGTGCCTGGCTCAAACTTGCGCTTGGGGCGGAAGGTCTTGTCCTTGTTGAAGACCTGCTTCAGGAAGGGGTTGGACATCGTGGTCCTCACTGCACGCTCCTTGATGAGGCTTTCGTGGATGGGGCTGGGCAGGACACTGGTGTCGGCCACCAACCCAGGCGACCAGAAATTCACTGGCCCCCAGGTCTTCCCTGAGATCTGGAATACAGAAAGAGGGAGAATTGTCACCCACTTCCAGAGGCCCTCTTCTGGAAGCAAGAATGGGCCACACTGGGGGGTTTTCCTAGGACTTCTGGTTTTGAGTTTTATCAAAAGGGTGCCAGCTCCTCAGTAAAAAAAACTGCCCCGAGGCATGTCCCGACTGCCTCAGAGCAGGACCCTGAGTCAGGACCTGCAAGCCCAGGCCTGCCAGCATCCTACGCCTGCCTCCAGTGCCTGGAGGCTTTCCATAAATCGGGAGAGAGTGTGCTAAAATATGCACGGTGGCTCAGGGTGACTGCTGCGGGCCACGTAGCGGCCTCCGTACAGAGATACCCCCATCCCTAGGACATGTGAATGGACCTGACTTGGAAGAAGGGTCTTCGCAGATGTGATTAAGGATCAGGGGACGCGCTTGTCCTGGAGGATCTGGGTGGGCTGTAGATGATGACGGCCCTTATAAGAGGGAACACACACAGACACACGGGGAAGGTCCCTGCGACAAAGCAGACAGAGATGGGGTGACATGTCTACAGGCCAAGGGACGGCAGTAATCAGCAACACCGCCAGAGCCAGGAGAGGGGCCTGGAACAGTTGCCCCCAATGAGCCTCAGAGGGGACCAGGCTTGCTGACAGCCCCCAGGGCTGGGAGGGAAGAAGTTCCTTCTGCTTCTTTGTCTGTCTAAATCTCATTATTTGATTAGGTCCCGCCTTAATACAGTGGGACCTCATTGTATCATTTTGATGACATCTGCAAAGACCCCATTTCCAAAGGGTGGACAAGAATTTGGGGAGACACTAATCCCCAGAACACTTGCTAAAAAGCTTGGATGAGCTTGTCCAGGTCTTATCTGCATCTACATGGGAACGTGCCAGACACCCACCCGTTCCAGGGCCGAGGCCTTGATGTGGGGGCTGCAGCCGCCGTTCCCTGCCGTGAAGACCCCAGTCTCCCTCCCACTCCACCTTCTCCTGCCCAGGCTCAGTCTCCTCCTCTTACGATGGGAGACCAACAAGCTCCATCGCAAAGGCGAGAGGATGAAATGAACACACGAAGCCACAAGCCCTGCTCACACGCAGGCTGCAGTCACTCCATCGACCCCAACATCACTGTCACTCTGCCACGATGATGGCGCCCGCCGACCTCCAGCCTCCGTGTCTCCATCTGCAGGCCCAGACCAATGCACCCTCCTGGGAGTGTGCTCGCTGTGGAAACAGGGAGGGCGGGGCTGGTGGGGCAGGGGCCTCTTGGGACTTCACCAGAAAGAGGAAGCGGAAGAAGTGCCTCTGTTTCACCCCAGGCCCAGCTCCACAACACACACCCATGGGTTATAAATAACCATTTACGATATTATAGTAAATTTCCCTCTTCTTTTTCCTTTGCTTCAACTGTGGTGTGAACAAAAAAGGCGCAGAAGAGTAGACCTGACAAACTCCAGGGCCACATGGCAGGCCTGGTAAGCTCAGTGACCAAGAGTAACCACACTGGATAATGCGATCACCTCCCAGGACAGGCTGTGGAGAGCAGTCACATCCCAGGCCTAAGGCTTCCTTAGCAAAAGGTCAGTCTTTACCTTAAGCGAGCCCTACCCACTGTTTTTGTGCATCTAGGTTAACACTTGAAATGTCAGAGCGATCTTCTTTTCCAGACCCCTCGGAGGGTAAACTCCTCACTAGCTAGCGCACGCCCCAGTTTTATCTGGTTGCCCACACCATCCCTGTTTACGGCAAATGCTAAATGTTAACTACCCTGCACCTCCAATGTAAAAAAAGTATGTATCTCTCCATTTTACTTTTTACCCAATCCTAGGATTTCCTACTTTCCTTTCTCCTTAACCTCCCACCAATAACCTTCCTTATTGTCTCTCCTTTGATTCCAAATTCATAAAAAGAACTTCAAACTGCCATTCTGGAGCATTTTCTCTATCCCCTGAGAGCTAGCTTCTAGGCATGTCCTCAGTTTGGCTAAAAAAAATCCCACCTAATATATTCTTATAAGATCTTTCTATAGGTTTAGATGTATTTTTGTCAAAAGTGGGAGCTTGTTTCCATGATGTGCGGCCAGCTGGGCTTATCTGGTGGCCCACCCTCCAGACTCAGCACACCATATAGCAAAGGACCACAAACTAAGGGGACTGCGCCTCAGATCTTCTGCAGAGATGCCACCCAACCCCCAAGGCCCAGGGCAACCCTGGCGGAGTAAGGTCCACTGAAGCCAGCACTGCCAAGGCCAGGCTCAGACAAAGGGAAGCACACGTCCACTCTGACCACAGCACCCAGCTCAGTGCAGCGGGTGTAGGCCAGGGTCAAGTCTAGTCCTTCTTGGGCCCAGAGAGTGAGCCATCACATACACACTGTGTCCTGGGGCCAAGGTGAAGTGACTCAGAAGACAAGATGGCCTGAGGGTGCTGAGGATTTCAGCAGTTTTAGAAAAAGCTTAGTCATCACTTGGGCCACATCCTAGAGCCCAAGAGCCTCCTTCTGGGTTGGCCCTGCCCATCTCTGGGCACAGGAAGAGTCTCCGAGCGTGGAGGGCTCCCGGGCCTTGGTCTTTTAGGTTCCTCTAGAACCATGGCCACCTTCAGTCTCATTGCTGGGGTCAGAGGGAACATGGCAGAGTCTGCCCGTGCCATCCTTGTGTACTCAACGAAGACTTCATGGCTGAAGACCAGTCTCTGTCTTCCAGAAGCCTTCGGTTTAACTCCAGAGACTAGATACATAATAAAAAAATGTCTAAACCAGTGTTCTCACTGGGGTGATCCTGCCCCTAGGGGACTCTTGGCAATATCTGGGGACACCTGCAGTTGTCACAACTAGGGGTGCTCCTGGCATCAAGTGGGTGGTGGCCAAGGGTGCTGCTCAACACCCCCACAGTGCCCAGGTATCCCCCAACAGACAGTGATCTGGCCCCAGTGTCAGCAGTGCGGGGTGGCAGTGGGGAGCAGTAGGGGTAGGAGACCCTGATTTAATAAGTCATTTCACACAACTGATGAAATCGGGCAGAGGTGCTCTTCCATGAGGCCTAAACCACGTAAAACACAGAAACTGAGCCTGGGGATCGAGGAGTCAACCAAAGATAACCAATCCAGAGGACGAGAGAAACTCCTGTGCCAAGGGCAGCAAGCTGCCCCCCTACACGAGGAGGGCTGTGGTCAAAAAGGACAACCAGCGGTGCTGGCAAGGACCAGGAAAAGGAGGACGCTTGTGCCCAGCTGGTGAAAATGCGAAAGGGGTCAGCACTGTGGCAAATGGTCTGGCAGACAAGCAAGCAGAGTTACCATCTGACCCAGCAACCCACTCCTAGGTATCCACTCGAGAGAAGCAACAACACGTGTCCACGCAAGGCCTGTACCCAGACATCCACAATTCATAATAATCACTGAAGGGTGGGAACAACCCAAGTGTCCACCCACAGGTGATGGACAAACAGAACACGGTCTATCCATACACACTGGAATGTTACTCAGCCAGGAAAAGGAGTGAAGCTCTGACACTCGCTATAATGTGGGTGGACCTTGAACACATAGTGCTCAGTGAGGGAAGCCAGACACAAGAGGCCACAGAATGTGTGATTCCATCCCTGTGAAATGTCCAGAACAGGCACATCCACAGGGACAGACTGGGGGAGGAGATGGGGGTAACTGATGACAGGGACGGTTTCTTTTTGGGGAAGTGAGAATATTTTGGAACTAGATAGAGGTGGTGGTTGCACAACTCTGAATGCACCAGATGCCAGTGCACGTGCACTTTAATGGGTGGAGTGGGCAGTATGAGAATGACAGCTAACAACGCTGTTACTTTTTAATAGAACTTTTATACTCATAAATACATAATTTAAAAGCTGTTATTTTTTAAAGGTGGGTGAGGAACAAGCAGAGTACGTGCTGGCTGAGACTGCCCCAGGGACCTTGAAGAACTCAAGATGCTCCCACCTGTAAATTTTATAGGTGCTGCCTTTAAATTGTTTAATGCTGTGAGATGTAACACAACTACAGAAAACTATCCAAACTATAAGGTGCAGTGAGTGACCTGCCCCAGGGTGAACAAGGCCTGTGTAAAGAATGACCACTCAGTGATGCCGCTTGAGGGAACCTGTGCTCTGCAGCAAAAAGGACCTGGTGCCACCTGCCAGACCAGAAGCGCCTTCATTTCCTTCCCCAGGTCAGCACTGGGGCCCTGGCTGCTGTCATCACTTTCTGCCACCTTGGTTACCCCCCAGCTAGGCACTTCACAGTAATCTGAGAGGGAAACGGCATCCCACGTTACATATGGGTAGGGTTAGGCCCAGCCTGGTCCCCCCCACCCCCCATAGCAGTGCTGACACTGGGGCTAGGTCACCCTCTGTGGGGGGCTGTCTTGGGCACTGTGGGGTGGCCCCCCATCCACTTAAAGACAGGAGCACCCAGCTGTGACAACCACAGATGTCCCCAGACATCACCCAACCCAGGTGAGAACCACTGGGTCAGATACTGACTCAGTACTGAATAATTACTGATTACTGAGTCAGTGTTTCAGGCCATGCAGCTGGTAGAAGGAGGAGGCTGAACTCAAACCCTGAACCATGAGGGTGAAGCCTGCACTTCTTTCAGCTAGGCCGCTCACCACCTGTCCATTATTCCAGCATTCACCTGTTTTATTCCAAACCCAGTGCCAGGTGCCCTCCAGGCTGGTCTCTTCCCCACCAGAAATGTCTGCAATGCCAGCACAGAGTCTGGACCAGTGCCCTTCCCTGGCTTTGGTGAGTGGGCATAGCCCTGGGCGCCCGTGGCCTGTGCAGTGGGGAGGGGGTGTCTCCAAGAAGGGAAAGGGGCAGCCACAAATGCTCCACCTACCCGCTTCTCTCCTCCCTGCAAGGGGCGTGTGCACAGGACATAATGGGTGGGGACTGCAGCCCCATCTGTGACTGCTGACTGTCCAAGTGGCCCATACACCTGCCCAGGTGATGAATCTGCAAACTTAGCTGTTCTCATGCTAATCTGGGGGCAGGTCAAGGGACAGAAACCCATGAGGGCCAAAAAAGCCAGGCACCTTCCCCGTGCCCCTTGCCAGCTGGCACCATGGAGATATTTTCTCATCCTTGGTCTTATTTCAGCCTCCAAACACCCTTCACATGAGGCGAGGGCAGCCCCACTTGGCAATGAGAAGGCGAAGCGGGGGCACTACATCGCTCGTCCTGCAGGGAGGGGCCGGCCGGCAGGGCCACAGAGCCCCACGGTTGCCTCTATTCCAGATTCCTATTTGTCCTGTAGCAAAACTTCTACCCTAATAACACAAAGAAATCTGCACCCACCAGCACCTGGCTGCTGCATTCTATTTCTTTTGGGGCTTCTCTGGTGATGGCTTTGGGAGTTTAACCTCTGGCAGCATCAACTGGGGACAGGAGACCTAGGAAGACAGAAGCCTCAAAGGCAGTGACAGGGCCCTTGGAAGGAGCCCTTGCCTGGCCAAGCCTCAGGGAGGCGGTGGCCCCACTTCCGCCCCCCCCCCCACCCCGGGGCAGGCTACCTTATCTTTGTCCACATCCTCTCCTGTCGTTGCTGCTGCGATGGTTCTGGAAGATGGGACAGGGCAGCAGAAGGGGCTTGCAAGGCTTCTGCTTGCCTTTCTGATTCTTCTCCGAAGGTGGGAGATTTTTTTTTTAAGCAGAAGCAATGATTTTCTTAAAAACTTCCTGGAGGGGCAGAGTTCCCGTCAAAGGCAAACAACTTTGTATCAGAAACACGCACACACCCCATGGCTGAAGGGTGGCCAGCTATGACCCAGGTCATATGGTTGCCCCATTACTGCCTCCAGGGGCCTTTCCCCTTGATATTCTTAAAATGCCTCCCAGGGCACCAGCGTGGGCAAGGGCTGGGACAGCCGTGCGGCGACTCAGTGCTAAGGACTCTCCTGGCTCCCTGGCTTTTTTTTTTTTTTTTAATACTTTATTTTTTATTGTATTTTTATTCCATTACCATTTACCCCCATATACTCTCTTCTACCTCCCCCCATGCACCTCCCTGGTTCTTTCCACAGATGAGATATGTGTGGCACCTAGGAGCTTCTACAGCGACAAAAGATAGGATGACAAAATTCCCAACCCAATAGATGCCCACCCTTCCTTTTTTCCCTGAAAACAAAACAAAACAAAACATAGTTCCTTTAAGCAATGGCAGCAGCAAAGCCCAGCCCATCACCACTTCCTTCCGGTGCTTTCACATCCTGCCTCTTGCTGCTAACACAGCCACTACCTTGGGGACACTGCCCCAACCTGGTGGTGGGGGTGGGGCTGGAGGGGCAGGCCCCAATCTGTGAGATCAGTCCCTGGATTAGGACAGCAACCCCAGTGTTTGGCTGGAAGGTGCCCACGGCCGAGGGCCTGTCCTAATATTCATTTTTATTTATTTATTTTTAGGGAGGGAGGAAGAGAGGGAGAGAAACATCAATGTGAGAAACATCAGTTGGTTGCCTCTCCTAAGCGCCTTGACCAGGGACTGAATCTGCAACCCAGGCATGTGGTCTGACCGAAAATCGAACTGGCGACCTTTTACTTTGCGGGATGACGCCCAACCAAATGAGCCACACCAGTCGGGGCCATAATGTTCATTTTAAAATTTCATTGCAGTTCCCCGTACAGGAAAGCCCCACCATTCTGCAGGCTACTCGTGAGGTTGGCTTTGGGCCTTCCCCTGATTAGGATGGGGATTTGCATTTAGTTGGCCTTTTGCACTCACATCTTGGTTTTGTGGCTGATATTCTCCAACATGTGTTGTACAAAGGCAGGGAGAAAGGTTTGTAGGGGCTGCTCCAGGCCAGGTGCTACTGAGGGGTTCCATAGACTCCAGCCCAAATGATAAATTCATATCCTGTAAATTCCACCCTTTTAAAGTGTACCCCAATTCCACAGCGTTCCCATCACCCCAAAAGACACTGTGCCCATCAGCAGTCACTCCCCTCCCTCCCGTTAAGGGTTGACTAGTGTCCCCCAGAAAGATATGTTCAAATCCTGGCCCCCCAGTAACTGTGAATGAAACCTTGTTTGGAAATGGGGCTTGTTAAAGTGAGGTCACACTGGAGTAGGGAGGCCCTAATGCAAGCACACATGTTCTTCTAACAGGATGATTTGGACACAGCCAAACAGAGAAGATGGTCATGTGACAATAGAGGCAGACAAGCATGGAGACACCAAGAACTGTCAGTAAGTCACCAGCAGCTGGGAGAGGCAGAAAGGACCCTACCCAGGGCTGAGAGCAAAGAGCTCATAGCACATGGAGGAGTGTGGGGATCCAAACTGGGTGTCCCCACATATCCCCGCCTCTGTTCCACTAAAGCAGAGAGGAGTGCAGGGTGTGCATGGACCAGCGTGAGGATCCTGTACCTGATAAAGAACTCTCTTTGTCTCAGTCTCCCAGAGAGGCAAATACAGATATTATTCTTTGGCAAAACTGTGTCATCTGGGGGTCAGAGAGGAACGTGTGAGAGGTCATGGGTTGTTGATGTGTCTACTCAGAAGCCATGCCTCCTTCTTCTGAGGCCACAGCCCAGGGTTTCAGGAGATGCCACCGCATCTTCACTGACCAGAGGCATGTCAGGAGGGGCAGGATACATGAAATAGTGCCTTCTGAACTCCCATCCAAACATATACCCCTCGCTGGCTGCCCATGCTTCCTTTTCACATTGGGAACCTTGGATATGAACTTGACTGTGCACTGACCTTGGAAGCAGGGGATAATGGAGGAAAGGAGTCACAATGAGCCATCCACTGAGGGCCAGGCCCATCCACTCAAAGGCTACATTCTTTCCTGGGTGATGTGAAGAACTCTCAGCAAATCAGCTACATCTGTGGGTCTCATCTTGGGGTGGTCCTACCCCTAGGGGATCCAGGCGATGTCTGGGGACATGTGTGTTTGTCACACCATGGCTGTTTCTGGCATCAAGTGGGTGGAAGCCTTGTCCTTCCCAGAATCCAGTTTCTTAAGTCAGATTCCCCTTTTCTGCTTAAGATATCTGAACTTCAAAATTCCAGGAAATCAGAAATACAGCTCACCAGCTGGGGCACGTCTGGAACTTCCCAGAGTGAAAACCCAACTTCTCGGCCAATGCTGGGGGATTTTGTTAAACCTCCATTTTATGAGGCTCTGATGATGTGAGAACAACTCCCAAAGATGATTAATGGCTGACTTTTCCATGAACTTAATTTAAGAGCTCAGCCTCGGAGCACTTCCCCATTAGAAAGAGCTTGCCCTAAACTTGCTAGAATATGAATCATCTAAAGAGTTCAGAAACTGGGCCCTGGCTGGAGAGCTCAGTTGGTTGGAGTATTGACACAATACGCCAAGGTTATAGGTTCGATTCCCAGTCAGGATGCATACAAGAATCAACTAATGATTGCATAATTAAATGGAACAACGAATTGATGTTTCTCTCTTCTCTCTCTAAAAATCAATAAAAATTTAAAAAATAATAATAAAGTAAAAAGTTCAGGAACGGAATTAGCTTCCCAAGAACCCCTGAGGAACTAAAATACTGCTTTTGCTGAGAAGGGGGAAGGGGAGAAGAGGGGGACTGGAGAGAGACAAAGAGAGGACTTAGACTTGAGCACACGGAGAACACCGAGCTCAGCTTTGTAGGAGATGCAAAGATGATAATGACACACTTTCTCCTGTAGGGATGTTCCAATAAAGAGTAAGCTGTCAGCCATGAAAAGTCAGGAGGAACTATAAATGCATACATCTAAGAGAAAGAAGTCAGTATGAGAAGGTTGCACTGTGATTCCAACTCTAGAATATTTTGGAAAAGGCGGAACAATGCAGACATTAAAAGGTTCAGTGGGTGCCGGGGGTTGGGGAGGGAGGGATGAATAGGCAGAGTGCAGAGGATTTTTAGGGCAGTGACACTACTCTGCATGACACTGTCATGGTGGATACATGTCACTACACATTTGTCCCAACCCATAAAACGCACAACACAAAGAGTGTCAACCGTGGACCTGAGGTAATAGTGATGTGTCAGCGTAGGTTCATTCTTGTAACAAATGTCCTGCTCTGGTTGGTGAGGTGGACAGTGGGAGAGGCTGTGCGTATGGGGAGGGAGGAGGGAAGGTAGAGAGTAATGGGAAATCTCTATGCCTTCTGTTCAGTCATGCAATGAGCCTGAAACTACTTTAAAAAATAAAGTCTATTAAAAAAATTATAGCTAACACTAATTCACCAATTATGACACATCAAGCATTTGGCTAAAACCTTGAAGTAGTTCAACCTTTTGAAGAAATTACTAAAGCCACAAACAGGAAGCAGAACACCATGAAGCCTAGCAGAACAAGAACTGAACATATATTTGCAGAAAGAATAAATACCATGGCAGGCACTAGAAATATAATGTGCACCCAAACTTAATTTCAAATTGTCCAGTGGCTCCACTGAAAACTAAGAAAATGAAAAGAAACAGGTGAAATCAATATTCATAACACATTCTACTTAACCCAAGGGCAAGGAAATATCATTTCAACAACTAAGGAATATAGAATATTAAGGAGATAGTCTGCCTTTTTTAAACCTATGAGTCTCTGTGATCTGGAGTGCATTTTGCATGTACAGTAGGTCCTAATTTAACTCAGCTATATTTCAAGGGCTCATTAGCCACGTGTGGCAGGTAGCTGCAGCCCTGGACAGCTCAGCCACAGAGGGGAAAACCCACCTGTCAGAAAAGAGGAGCAATGGGACAGGTGTTGTGTGAGGTGGGTGTACATTTGGACCCCAGGGAGAAGAAAGCAAGCCATCAGAGCAGGATCTGGGGTGAAGAAACAAAGGATGCCTTCTGGGATGGAGCAGGGGTGGGGAGGGGGCAGGGCAGCCAGGACTTTCACTTGCTGTCTTCTCACTCCACACTCAGTACATTCCTTCAGTGTTCTGATAACAGACTGGCACAGGCTACAGACAAACACGTGGGGCAAAAAGTCACTCATTCCTTAAGACATCAAGCAGGAAGCGGGGCTCAGTGGGGCTCAGGGCTTCCGGGAGTCAGCAGCACCCTGGCATCACTCAGCACTGAGAGGTAAAATGGGCTAAGAGCCCCCTTTATGTTGGATGAAGGGAGGGAAGAGAAAGCAATTGCCTAGAGGCCACGTGTGTGTAACACGAGCTAGTCCAAAACCAGATAGTAGGGGCAGGCCCCTGGACTGTGAAATATGCAAAAGTACACATGCATAATATTCAAAATTTACCCGACTATGTGCTTTGAATAGGTGCAGTGAATTGAATGCCAATTAAACCTCTATAAAAGTTTGGAAAACCGAAGACTCTTACCCCAAAATTAACACTGGCTCTCTGGGTGGTAGGTCACCCAAGATTTATTTTCTGCTTTGTGACTTTCCAACCAGCCCCCTTCCTCTTTCAGTGACATTTTATAAAATACATGGTCATTTAAAACCAATGCCAGCCCATCAGCCTCAGAGATTGAGTTGCGAAGTCCTCCCAATGGGCAGTGCGGACACCACCAACACCTCGCGCCCAGCCCTTGTCCAGTGTTCAGTTGACTCTGGGGACATAGGAAGCAAGAAGCAAGCTCCTAAAACGCCGATTCCCCGTTTGGGAGCCCTGAAATCCTGCGGACTTGATTCAAACCAGAGATGAAGGCCTAGCGATAGTTAGTGACAGAGCCCGGGGTTGATCCAAAAGTGACATTTATAGCTACGAATTCGATCGAGAGTCCACAACTCCCTTCCCGCCGCCCGCGTTCGCTCCTGAAGACCAAAACCCCCGCCGCCCGCGTTTTCCCCTCCGAGGCTTTCGGCCGCCAGCGGCCCGCGTTCGCCCATCCAAGGACCCACCTGCTGCTTCACGCAGACGGCCGGCCACTCTCACCTCCGTTCTCCGTCTACCGTCTCCGGCCCACCGTCCCAGTCCCGCTGATTTCCGCTGATTTCCGCTGATGTCCGCTGATCTCCGCTACTCCAAGCCTCTCCTCCCGCCGCGGAGGAACACCGCACAGGGCCCGCCCCGGCCCCGCCCGGCCGGATCTACTTTCGCTACAGGCTGTGGCCTCCTCAAAGCGGAGCTAGAGGGAGGAGGTCTAAACCGACTAGGGGAGCTTCCGTAACTTGCGCTCTGAGTTGCTTGGCAACCGGGGACGGGCCGTGATGCCATTGGTTAGTGGACGGAGCTTCCTCTTTGCTGGGAATGTGGGGCGGGGCTTCGAGCAGGGGCCGGCCTGGAAGGAGGGGCTTGCGCGGGCCTTAGGGCACGCAAGGGGCGGGTCGTGGGCGGAGTCTGGAGGCTGAGCGTGGAGGCTGAGCCTGCTACTACCTCTGTCTGTTGCGGGGCGGGCCCTGAACCTGGGGTGGGTCTGCGCTGGACGCGATAGTGGGGCGTGGCCTGGGGCCGGAAGAGCGCCGTTGGTTGGTGCGCTGTGGAGAGGTGTGGCGCGGGAGGTGCCTTAGATTGACGGGTGGTGCTCTTGCAGGCGACTGGCGGGGACGTGCCAGGACCCTGCGGACTGCCTCTGCCTGACGAGCGCGCTGGTCCGCTGCTTGCGTGCGTTGCCAAGGCATTTTCTCAGAGTTCTCCTTCCACTCCCATCACGTGAACCCCAAGCCTGGTGGGTAGCGCGACATCCTCGTGTCGAGCACGCTGCTCACAGACTGGAGCCAGAACACGATGAAGGAGCTGCACCTGGCCATCCCCGCGGAGATGAGTGAGTACGGGGGCCTCGCCTGGGCGCTTTCTTGGTCCAACCAGAAGACCACGGCGCAGGCTGCTTACTCGCCTTCTCCTCCTGCCCCTAACCCGGGAAAAGCTGGACCAAGTGGCAAACGCCGTACCAGAAGATGGATCAGCTGTACCAGTGGAAGATGTATCCAGGACACCCCCATCCACCCACCTCTTGAACCTGCTTTCCTCCTGCCTCCCCCATCAGAATATTTCCCTAATGGGTTTCGAGCCATCTTCCAATAAGAGACCATTTCCTGCAGCAACTGCGAGTAGGGCTCAGGCTTGGCGATGTGCTTGGTGTGCGTATACGTGGGTGTGCTGCAGCTTATGTCCTGAAACCATGGACCGTTATGCCCCCTTAGGAGAGAACGGCCCCGGGAACAAGGATTTCAATCAAATGCTATCGGTATATCCCGTACCATTGACATTATGTGCTGCTTCCTCATTATGTAGGCAGGGGCCCGCTGTGCATGGGGTCCAATACTCTTCCCAAGGGGCCCCTCCTTCACCTCATTCCTGCTTTTCACCACCTGGGTAGGATGGGGTGTTCATGGCTGGCCCTTCTCTGAACTTGGGGCCACACCGCCTCCACCCCCTGTGTCTCTGCAGGTCATGTGTACAGAGGAAGATAGCTGTGTAAGGCCTCCTGCTTTACATGTAAGTCTTTGTAGAAATAATTGGCACAAGTACCTTCTCCCCAAACCCAACGTGAGTTTTATCAAAGGTTGTAAATTGAGTATGTGTGGGGACAGCCACTAGAAGGCAGGACTTGGTGCCTGTACTCAGGGCCCCAGCCCCTTTCCCTAAAGGGTCTCTGAGTTCAGCTGGCACAAAGCGGGCAGATCATCATAATTAAAGGGTTCCTCCCCGACAGAGTCTGGTCTGACTCCTGCCCCAAGTGGGTGTCAGGGCTGTGGTTAGAACCTAGGAAGGGTACCCTACAATGGATGTGTCCCAGTGGAGTGGCCTGGGCAGCCACAGACACTGCCTAGGCACCAAAATTGGGGCTAACCAGGGCCCTCTTGTGTCTTTCAGACAGAATATCAACACGAGCTGAATGAAGCCCACCCCCCTCCTCTCCATAGCCCTGGCCTGGCAGTGGAGTGGGGGGAAACAATAGGTTGGTGTGGGGTCCTCCAGGTCAATGGTGGCAGATGAATGAGGATGTTGGACAGGGCAGGCACAGCCAGGCGGGGCTCTCTGCAGCTGGGATATGCCAGCATCACCTGTGCAACCACATCCATATAATCACTTCATGAACATGTCCTCCTCACCGTTTGGATGCACAAAACCACTCCAGCCTTCTGAATTATCTAGAAGGAAGAATCTGCATGGACAGGGAGCTGGGGAAGGTGGCCCAGGCAGCAGCACAACCTAAAGCACAGATCAAGACCCAGAAGCTCATTTACCACAGACTCACCCAGGAACTTTGCAGCCCACTTTGGGACTTGGGTGAGGACAAGAAAACAGGGCCTCCCGAATTCAGCTTTGAATATCTGTTTGCAACGCCGTCACATGCCCCAGCTGGGAGAAGAGGCACAGGCCCCTAGCAAATACTCACCAGTTAGATGGAAGCTAGGAGGGGAGAGGAGATACTGAGGCACCTGTGTCTCTGCAGCCTGGTATCACCAACCTTCACATGTCTAGAGCCCAATCACCTGGCCAGCCTGACCCTGGAAAATGCTTCTGAGTGCCTGAGCAGCACCGATGGCTGCCAGCCCATGGAACCCGCCCCAGCTGCAACGTGGAGCCAGGTCTCAGTTTGACTGTCCCAGCCTGACCCTGTGGAGCAGGCTTGTTGCTCTTGGGGGTCCCTGCACCCGCATCAGAGCCCAGGCAGGGCCAGGGCTAGGAGGAGGGTATGGAATGGGTTGTATATAGCAGATGCCAGGTGGGATTTCAGAGCTATATGAAGAATGATTGAATGTCCCTAACATTTCTCATGATGGAGCACTCCCTGTGAAGGCAGGGAGGATGGTGTGAGGGAATGGACTGAGCCCCCAAGGCAAGGCACATCTGGTCACGGGTCCAGGGTCCAGGCATTTCCATGTTGATATGACTGCGTGCAATTTGCCTGAGTGTACCTGGTTGGGCCCACCTGGAAGCAAGCCTGGAAGCAAGTGAGTTCCCCTGATGACGCAAAGTGAGGCTAGAGTCTGGTAAAACAAGGCCATCTTCAGTGTGTCCTAGGGCTCAGGTCACCAGGTCACATAGGGCTGAACCTCAGCCCAAGAAAACCTACAGCACTGCTTCTGAAAACACTACATGGGTTCTGATTCAGGCTGGACAGCTGTTCAAGGCAAGAGGGAGGCTTGGGAGTGCTCTCAGTCACTCCTTTCTCAGTCTGAGTCTGGCACTCCTCTCTCAGCCTGGGTGCACCTCCCCTGACTTCTCCAGCTCCCTCTTGCTCTTGCATGGGGCTGGGTATGTGTGTTTGGGGAGGCGGGGCAGTGAATTACAGGACAGCTGATGAACCCCGCAGGGCTGATTTCCTACTGAGGTTTCACTGACCTAGTGTTTATTTGGCAGGGTTTAGACAAAACAGCAGGAGAAAGATTCAGGGGACATTTGGATAAACTAACACAGTAGTCATGAAGTCTGCAACAAGCACCTTTCACAGGGGTCTGTGCTGGAAGCAGGGCTGGCTGCTCACCAGAATCCTGGTCACTGTCTTTGTTCCTGCCACCTCGGCCTCTGCCTTTTCCAGCCTGAGTGGCTGGCAAGCAGTTTGTCTTGCATGAACCACCTTTTCCCACTGAGAACAGGGGAATACGCCTGCTGGCAAATGGTGGTAGTTGGCAGGGCTGCTTTTCTCCCTATTGGTGCCCCAAGCAGGGTTTAGTGGAGCTGGTTTGTGCCTGTGCTCCTCACCCTCCCACACTTGGGGTTTCAAGGTGGAGTTGATTTGGGCTTTCTACTGACCCAGACTGACCAGGTTTGAACTATCCCTGTGCATGCAATGTCAAAAAAGGCAGTGGAAATGTGATGAATTAACATCACCAGCAGGGCCCTCCCTCCAGCATCTGTTCCCACAACCCCCTCACCAGTGCAGTTCTCAGGGATGGGATGGCCAGTGTGTGGGGGCCTCATTATTCATTCTATGAGCCTAGGAACCTAGATGGCATGTGGGCATCGTTATCACCTCCAAGAGGACGCTGAACGGGCAGTGGGGGGACAGGGCTTTCCAGCACACTGCAACCTCCATGAGGGCTGCCCCATCTGACCCCAAGTAGCTCAGGGATGTCCAGAGACATCAGCTGTGTGGTCACCCCACCTTGGGCTATGGTGTAATGCCCCTGGCCAGGATGCACACTGCCACTGGCAGGAGACCCGACAGGTAAATGTGTTTTGCAAGTTTATTGGATCATCTTGACACAAAATCATGACAGCAGCGTGATATGTCTCTCCTTTACACGGGAATGTTGATAGCAAATTCTTATATAACACATCATACAATTTTGAGATTCTAGAATCACTGCACAGGATTCTGTAATAGATTACATGCTAAAGTGACAGTTTTCATCAAAAGGAAAGTTAAAACATCATTGAGGACCATCATTTCTGAGGAAAATTTCACTGGGGTGGGCTGAAGTCCCCTTGCCCTGCCCATGAGACACATTAAGGGACCTGGCCTCCCCAAGACACATGTGCTTCACCACCAGGGCCATGGGACTCAGGACCGGGCCCTGCCAGCAGCTGCGGGCATGCTGTGAGGACAAGCCCTGTGGAGCTCTCAGTGATGAGAGAGAACCTGGAACCCTCGCACTCCACCACTCACCTCAAACGTCAACTGAGACGTACACTACCGAACAGAAAACCGAGAACACCAGCAAGGTCCAGCCTCTGCTCTGTTGGGCTCCTGAATGAATCCCCTCCCTTGCTGTAGCCCCCTACCCCTGAGCCTTGGAGTCTACCACCATTCTCCACCTGGCACACAAACATGGCAATGGGACACAGAATCCAATGGACAATGGCCTGCACAACCCTTTTCCCACCATGTGTCCTGGAGAGAACTGACTGTGGCTGTGAAGGGTAAAGGGAACGTTACTGTGGTGAGCAGGCAGCCTGTTTCTCACCCCTCAGGTACCAGTGTGCAGGGGACTTGGGGACTTGTGGGACTGGATGACTTCACAGAAGCAGGACACGCCCCCTCGTCTTGTCCACTGAACGCCCCCCACCTGGGCCCACAGGTCCTGGCCTGGATGGTGGTCATGCCCACTTCTTGGGCAGCTCCTGCAGCCATGTGCTGTTGGCCCTCGCTACAGGAGTCACTGATGGTTTGGGGACTGGAATGGGTTTCTCCCCAAAGAGAGACGGAAGAGTCAAAGTAAAAAATATGACAAGAGAAATTAATGAACATATGACCTCAATGTCTAACCGGTGACGACAGCGGACTTAAATTAACGCCAGGTTGGATAAGTACATGCGACAGAGGAGAAACTAGCACTTGGAATCCGTCTCTCCTTCATGTCCTCTCTGTGGTGGCCTCAGCGATAACACTCAGCACTTTGCCAGCGTCGCCTTCACCTCCTCTAGCAGGTTGCTGAGCAGAGTGGCGTTGTTGCACTTCCCATCTACTGATACAGACTTCTCACCCTGAAAAAGGGAAACCACTGCTCAGTATGTTGAAAACTACAAGAAGATCTTGCCTTACAACTACACATCTTGTACTTTTGGTTTTCCAAATACTATCCAATATGTGGGTGCTTTCAAAATCGGAACAAAGGAGGGGGTCCCAGGTTGATGGCAAAATGAATGTGGACTGAGGCCAGCAGTGGTGGCTGGGGGCGAGGACTGGAATTAGAAGAATCTAGAAGTGGCTGGAAGAGCTTGACAGAGCGGGATGATCACTTTATGGCTGGGAACCCCAGGAGGAACACAGAGTCTGAATGATTCTGGGGAGGAGCTCAGGCAAAGCGATCTGAAATACTGTTCATGAACCAAGGGTCTGACTGGAGCTGAGCACCCAGGGCCCTTGCCCTCAAGAGCCAGTGTACCAGATGCTGAGGACAGAGTACTGCCCAGTCCTGGCCCCACATGTGGGGCACTCTGTGGAACAAAGACTATGAAAAGTGATGAACATTGGAAGTACGAATCCTGAAGGTGGGGCCTATGCATTAACATTCTTCCCATGAGTAAAACAAGGCCCAGAGTCTTAGCATATTCAAAATACCCAGAATACAGTCCCAAGTTACTCAGCAAAAAAGGCCAGGGCATCTCAGCTGCCCGGGAAAGACAATCAATAAACATCCATGCTCATATAAGGCAGATAGCAGACTGATGTGACAAAGACAATGAAGCAGCTGTTATGACAATCTCTCAGAAGCTATCACAACACTCTTGAAAAAGAAAAAACAGATCATCTCAGCAAACAAATGAAAGCTTTAAAGAAACACCTAATGAAAACTTAAGACCAAAATAGGATAATCAAAATAAAAGGCCCACTGAATGGGCTCAACAGCAGAATGGACACAACAAAGGAAAGAAGTCAGTGAACTTGACGGCAGGTTATAAGAAATACTTCTCCAGTCTGAGCAGACAGCACAAGGGGCTGGGGGGAGGGGATCGATGGGGTGGGCAGAGCCTCAGAGACTTGAAGAACAGCAACAGAAGTTCTGGGTTCAGGTCCTCAGGCTCCCAGAACAGGATAAAGAATGCAGTGCTGAAAGAGTAGTTAATAATAGTTGAAATGCACCAAATTTTGCAAAAGTAGTACATGTAAAGATTCACCAAATTCACCACACTTCAAATAGATAAACCTAAAAATGTCCATGCCCAGAAACAACATAAACTGCTGGAGACTGGAGACAAAGAAAAACCCGGAGAAGAGCCAGAGAAAAAGTTGCACTCCCTATCCAAAGAATAAGCAAAGGTGCAGAGGAGTGCAGATGTCTCATCAGAAACCATGGATGCCAAGTGGAAATGGCATATTTTTAAAGTACAGCCCATCTCTGACTTAGGATTTTTGGACTTTAAGATGGTGCATAAGCAATTTGCATGCAGTAGAAACTGAACTCCGAATTCTGAATTGGGATCTTTTCCTAGCTAGTGATATGCAGTACAACCTCTCTCGTGATGCTGGGCTCCTGTAAGCCTGTTGATCACAATGGTGAACACCATATAATCCACAGTGTGCTATGCTGTGCTGGTTGTAGTGTTTTCTCGATCTTATGTTTTGTGCACCTTTAAGGCAGGCTGGGAGAAGTTCTGATGTTTGGTGGGTTAAGTGTATCAAAAACATTTTTTATTTATAATGGCTTTTCTAGGATGTAAATCATTATAAATCAAGAAACACTGTACTAAGAAAAAAAAGACTATCAAAGCCAGAATTGTAAATACAGCCAAAGTAGCCCTGAGGAATGATGAAATAAAGATTAACTTTGCCCCAGCTGGTGTGGCTCAGTGGATTGAGTGCCAGCCTGCAAACCAAAGGGTTGCCAGTTTGATTCCCAGGCAGAGCATATGCTTGGGTTGCAGGCCAGGTCCCCAGTGGGGCGCACACTAGGGGCAACCACACATTGATGCTTCTCTCCTTTCTCCCTCCCTTCTCCCCTAAAAAAAATAAATGGAAAAACAAAACCTTTAAAAAAAATGAGATGAAGGACAATGGAAACAACCTGTAGCCAACAGACGTGTCATAAAAGAATTACTAAATAAAGTTCTTCAAACAGAAGGGACTGAGCCAGATGATGTGAATATTAGGAATAAAAAAACAACAGAAATAGTAGATGTAGGCGAGCACAACAGATACTCTGCTCTTGAGTTCCCTGAAATTTGTTGAGGATTAAAAACAAAGTGTTAACGATGATGTGATGGCATCTTTGATGTTTTTAAGTACACTACAAAACTGCTCATACAAGAGGGAGGGTCAAGGGATTGACAGGGTGGTGAGCTGTCCGTGTTCCACCTGAAATTTTTTTTAAAAAAGATTTTCTTTATTTTTAGCCCTGGCTGGTGTGGCTCAGTGGACTGAGTGTTGGCCTGCGAACCAAAAGGGTCACCAGCTGGATTCCCTTTAGTGCACAAGCCTGGGTGGCGAGCCAGGTCCCCAGTAGGGGGCGCGCGAGAGGCAACCACACATTGATATTTTCCCCCTTCCCCCTCTCTAAAAATAAATAAAATCTTAGAAAAAGATGAAAATTCTCAATATTTCTAAATATTAAAAAAGTTTTTACTTTTAGAGGAAAAGGGAGGGAGGAAGAGAGGGAGAGAAACACCAATGTGTGAGAGATATATCAATTGATTGCCCCTCGCATGACCCCACAACCCAGCCATGTGCCCTTGCTGGGAATCGAATCAGCGACTGTTGGGTTCACAGGCTGGCACTCAAGCCACTGAGCCACACCAACCAGGGCCCACCCAAAATTTTTAAATTATTCTTTCAGAAGATTAATAAAATTGATAAACTCTAGGATAACCAAGAAAAATGAGAAAAGACACAAACTACTAACATCAGGAATGATGGTAGGTTACCATTACTGACCACTTAAACATCCCAAGAACAAGAGAAACACAAATAACTCTGCCACATCAATTATTTCAGTAACTTGAGTGAAACAAACTAATTCTTTGAAAACCACGAACTACCAACACTCTCCTGAGGGGAAACAGAGAAATCGAGGATCCTAACTATTAAAGAAAGTGAACTTGTACGTAAAAACTTCTCAAAAAGAAACCATAAGGCCTGGACAGTTTCCCTGGTAGAGTACGCAAAACATAAGGAACAAATAAATGAATTACACAGACGCTCTCCCAGGAAATGCAGGAGGTGGGGAATAGCCCCCTGCCTTATGTGATGAAGCAATGAGTGCCCTGATGCCCAAACCAGACAGAAAATCCAAGGCTGATCGTTCTCACAAACGTGGCCTCCACGGACCTCAGTATGGTACTCACAGACTGAACTCAGCCATACAGTACACAGGAGAACCTCCAAGGACAGAGGGAGGAGACACAGTGCAAGGGGCATGGTGGCAGAGGGCGAGAAGGATGCCTTCATGCGGCTCACCTTCTTCACCAGGAGGCAGATGTGGTGGCCCTGGATGGATCGGCTGTACAAGGAGGCGCAGGAGTCCACTCGCTCCACAACTGCAACAAAGCAGGCAGGGGTGAGGCCCATGTGGCCCCAAAGAGAGCAGAGGGAGAACCAAGTGTGACCAAAGGCTATGCTGCCAACCAGTCCCATCAAATCCCTTACCAGAAAAATGGTGATAAAAACAGATCTTTGTCAGAAGGTTCTGGAAGGACATATTAATGCCATCAACCTTGATTGAACTCATGCTTAGGTCCCCAGACTCCAGCAACTCGGCAAAGGCATCGCTGTAGGAAAGACACAGGTCAGGGAGGCTGATAACAAGGCAGGCTCCCAAGCATCACGGCAGACAAAGTCCCCAGTCCTGGGGGTAGGATCCATCCTGTGTGCCTGCAACCTGGGATGTCTCCAAGGGTCTTTTAAGATGTCACAGGCTGAACTCTGCCCCCCCACCCAAATTCCTATGTTGAAGCCCTGAACCGAAGTACCTCAGAATATGACTGTATTGGGAGATGGGGGTCTTTAAAGCAGTGGTTAAGTTAAAAGAAGTCAGTAGAATGAACCCTGATCCAACATGACTGGGTCCTAATAAAAGGAGATCAGGTCTGAGGGACATATAGAACAATGACCATGGGAGGACACGGAGGAGTGTGTGTCTACATGCCAAGGACAGGTTTCAGGAGAAACCAGCCCTGCCAACACCATGATCTCAAGATTCCAGCCCCCAAGGCTGTGAGGGAGAACCAGTATCTGTTGATTGAGCTGCTTGCCTGTGTTGTTTGCTATGTGGCCTGAGCTGCCAACATGGCAGAGAAGCTGGACTTTCTACACCACCTATAAGCTAGTCACCCAACACTTGTGCCCTTTCACACCTTAGGTCAGAGGACTTCCTAAAATGACGGCACAGAGCACCTCACACAGCGGTAAAGTAGGGGAGGCCCACTGTGGCTTCCCCAGGGAACCCAGGAGGCAAAGGCGGAAAGGGAAGGCAGGCGAGCTTGTGCACCTGTAGCATGGAGTCGTGATCAAGTATGAGGTGCAGCTGAAGTGCAGCTTGAAGTCCAGCTTCTCATGGGTGGAGCCCTCGTCGTTCTGTGGAAGTAGGGGTACAGGGTGAGTGGGAGGAGGGGCTGGACCTTGAGCTTGGGCACACAATGAGTTGGGATGGGGTCCAGGCCTGTGAACGTGGGCACAGGGTGAGGGAGTGCGGGAAGCAGGCCTGAGGGCTCTGAAGTAGAGTGACTGGGGAGCACGGCCGTGCCTTGAGCTTGGGTCCATGATGAGTGAAAAGTGGGGGGTCGAACCTCGAGCTTAGAAGCAGGGTTGACTGGGGTTTGGGGCAGGGTGCATCCAGGTGCTCTGGGAGCAGCTCCCATCCAGGGCCCCACTAGCTCTCTGGACACCCAGCCCTGGGTTTTGGGTATGCTCAGAGAGGCGGGGCGGTGGAGGTTAGTGCAGGTCCCTCCAACTGCCTCAGGCCCCACATACCTTAGCAATAAAGGACAGGGTCCCCTTGAGTTTCTGGGCCATGACAATGCTCCGAATGGTGAACACAAACTGAGCTTCATTGGAGATGCCTAGTGAGGGGAGGAGAGAGTGGGAGAGGGAAAGAGAGGGCAGGCTGGCCTGAGAAGCAGCACGAAGCAGGCCAAGACGGGGCCCAGCCTGCCTCCTGAAAGCAGGCAAGTGGGCACCCCTATGACTGAAAGAAAGAGGTGTGACAAGAAGGAACTCAAACCAGAGGAAATGCCGGGGCTCCACTGAGCCCTGGACATCAGCTGCTACTCACCTGGGGGCAGCTGGAAAGGCACAGGGACACCATCATGGACAGAGGAGCCCTCTGGCCGGGCCAGTTTGGTGTTGAGTGAGTCCAGCACGTTGAGCTCCATGCTCTTCAGGAAACTGCTGCTCTGGTTTTCCAGTACAATAAACACGGTGACCTGGCTGTCCTTCTGCAGGCTGCCCTGGATATCATACGTCTGCAGGCAAGGTCTGGGTCAGTGGTCATGGTAGGAGCCCGTGGGACCCATTCTGGGCCAGCACAGGCGCCCAAGGGAGCACAACAATCATTTTGAAAGCATAGAAAAGTGTGAAGAAACGAATGCTTCCCTGTCCTCCTTGAAAACCTTGCCTCCCTTTTCTCTGCAGTATTTAACTCTTCTTCCTGTCCTTTCTCGAAAATATGCTGTCTGTCAACCCATCTGCCCTTGGCCTTGCTCACAGTGAGTAGGCCTTGCTGTCATACATGTGGTTTAGGGGTCTTTCCCAGAGAGGCTGCTGACAGGGGACGCATAGTCAGAGCCGCTCATATCGCCATGGAGTAGCCACTACCCTCTTCCATACACAGGGACACCAAGCCGCCCACCAGCACCTCTGCAACACCTGCTTTTTTTTTGCTCACCATTTTAACATAGGAATTCTCAGCCAGGAGGCAGTAGCTGGACATGGGCTGGGAACAGAGAAAAAAGATTTAGCTTTTAGTTGTGAGAGCCTCAGAGCACCTGCTCACAGGTCTGTCTGAAGCTGCCAAGTGCTCCGAGTTGAAATACTGAGGCTAGGGGGTTGGGGTGCGGGCAGGGGCGCGGGCAACAAGGAGTCCCCCCAACAACTCAAGTTTACACTCAGGGGCTTCTAACACCAGCATGGCCAGAGAGATGCCCTCTCCCTGAAACATACAGTAAAGACCCAGAGGCCACCAGCCTACCACCCAAGGCCCCACAGCCTGCCACAGCTAGCTCTTAGACTGCTTGGTATCCCCTACAGCTGGCCCCTAGACTTGGCTCAGTCTTCCCACGTCGAGACCATGGCCAACGGGAGGCAAGTGAAGTACCCCTCACCGGGAGAGGCTCCTCATTGACTGCGCCGTTCTCCAGGGGCTCCTCTATCCCATCATTCACAGGCGGCTTCTTCTTGGATTTCTTCTTGTCTTTCAGTTTCTCCTCCTTCTTATGCTTCTTTTTCTTATGCTTGGCAGGTTTCTGAAGGAAGAGAAGTTAGGGTCAACTCCAGACTTCCCTGGTGATGTCTCCCCACCACACACATGTATCCTGTGACTGAAGACACAGGGACTGGGTACACCCAGGTTAAGGGTCATACATTAGGGTTGACAGGCCAGCAGTCCCCCAGGGCCCACGGGGAATGGACAAGGACCAGTCTGGCTAAGATAGGAACCTTGGAACTCAGTGATGGTCAGTTGCTGCTGACTTGGGTAAAAATACTCAGGGGAACAGAATGAGAATTCACACATGATGGCCCAGCAAACGGGAAATTCCTCAGAACACATCTGAGAGATGAAAACCTATGTCCACAAAGAAACCTGCATACACCTGTTCACAGAAGCAGGATTCACAACAGCCAAGAAGTGGTGGCAACCCAGAAGTTAATTTAGCAGATGAAAGGATAAACCAATGTGACCCATCCACATGCTGGACTACTGTTACCCAGCCACGAAAAGGAGTGAAGCACTGACACTCACAATGTGGGTGGACCTTGAAAACATAGTGCCCATGAGAAAAGCCAGATACAAAAGGCCACACAGTGTGTGATTCCATTTACATCCAGAACAGGCAAATCCAGAGACAGGAGGTGGATTTGTGGCAGTCAGGAGTTGGGGGGCAGGGGTGACTGCTGAGTGAAAACAGTTTTGGGTTTTCCCCCAGCCCTTGGAGGGGGGTGGGGAAATGATGAAATCTTCCAGAATTAGTCAGATGGTTGCACAACTCTGGGAATGTACTACCAATGAGTGAGCCTTAAAAGGGTAAACTTTGTGGTATAAATTATAACTCAATAAAGCTGTCATAAAAACTAGAACCCCATAAGCACAGTGACAGGAGACCACCATCAGGAAGTCGAGAGTCCCCCACTGGAGGGATTTGGGCAGTGGGTAACCATCCTCCTCCCTGGACCTGGGCTCCCTCCCCATAGACCTCACTGTATGTACTCAGCCCACCCCTACGATGATGACCAGGCGGGATCCCTCACCTTCTCGGGGTCTCGCTCCTCCTGCTCCTCCTGCTCCTCCTGTTCTTGCCTCTTGGGTTCCTCATGCTCTTCCTCAGGAGCAGTAACGACTGCATCCACCCTTGGCTCTTCCTGCAGGGAACCCAGTGGTGGAGGCTCCAGAAGGTGAAAGGACGGGGGTAAGGGTATAGCCAGAGCCCGGAACAGAGTGTTCTCCACCCTGGTGCCCTGATCTGCCCTTGTGCTGGCATACGCTGCAAGTGACAAACTCTGGGCCTCCTCCTGCATGCCAGATGTTCTGTCAAGCACACAGGTGTGTGGCCACCAGGAAGTGCAAGTGGCTGACAGCTGGAAGAGGAGGACTGGTCGGAGACCAGCTGGCACTGACTAAGGTCACTGCACAAGACACCAGAGCTGCCAGGTCTCATCTACTTTCACAAACTGCTCAAGGCTGCTTCTTGGCTCTGTGTGGAGGACTAGATGCCCAGCCACCCCCATATTGCAAGGGCCAGTGCCTGGGCAAGACATGGGGCATGGGAGCTGACCCAAATCTGGCTCACCTGTGTGAGGGCCCCCACTGGGGCCTCAGTGGTCAGGAGGGTCCAATGGGTGACAGAGGGGAAGGGTTGGTGTGGGCCTAGAAGGGGTGTCCCTGCGCTTCTTGGGGAGACAGCTCTGCCACTGCCAGGGCCATGAAATGCACCCGATCAGCTGGGGATCTTGTGGGGTTAGCACGGTGCACCCGTCAGGGCCTTACCATGGATGGGGCTGGGGCAGCAGCAGGTGGCGGTGTGGTGGACAGCCAGAAATCTAAGTCCTCACTCTGAAACCACAGGAAAACAAGTTTTGGGCCAAAGCAGCAGGATGGGCCCCACCAGGCACACGGCCATAGAGAGAAACAGACACAACCACAAAAATGTCTTGAGTGTTCCACCTATGACAGCTAGCAAGAGTTCACTTTCCCCTAAATCGTGACAGGCTGTGACAAGTCTCAGTGCTGTCAAATGCTCGGGTGCCTGCCCTGAGGGAGAGAGGAAGGGGGACGAGATCTGCAGGCAAGCCTCACCTTCCGCTCTTTCTCCTTCCTTTTCTCCCGGTCTCTTTCTTTGTGTTTCTTCTCTTTCTTTCTGGGTTTCTTGCTTTTCTTTTCTGTGACAGGCACGTCCTCTTTCTCAGGAGACTTCGAAGTCTCAGCATTTCTATGTTTCTGAACAGGCAGCTTCTCGCTGTCAGCTAAGGGTCTGGTTGTGCCAGGACGGGGGGAGGTCACAGGAGGTGCCAGGCCTGTCCTCCCACACTTGACACCTGCCACCAGGCATACTCGTGGCCTGGAGGATGAACCCTCTGCCTCCCCTTTTGCCCACACATTATATAAAAAAAGGCAAAGGATGGAGAGGAACAGATAAACGCCAGGAAAACCTAGGCCTGAGTCCAGCCTTGCAGGGCAGTTACCCGACCCCAGCCCCAGCCGCACTTACTTATCCAAGTCGATGTCTAGGGCTCTATAAGGATCATTGGGATCTTTGTCGTCCTCATCACTGGGCAGAGCATTCTGAAGGAAGACAGAAACTCGGTGTCCAGTTCACCCAGCCTGTGAGACCCTAAGCTTGAGCCTAAGAGGAGCCCTCCAAGCCCTTTCTCAGAAATGAATGCCCAGTCCACACCCATGAGTGTATCTGATCGGCGTGAAAGGTCGGGATGTGCCAGCGCCTCTAGGCCACAGGGAACAGAGTGGAAGTTCCAGGATGGGAAGGTGAAAGAGATGACACACATGTCCACTCACGCCCTAACATTCCCTGGCCCGCTGACTTGGTCATGACAGCAATGGCTTTCAGCCTTCCCAGACCAGAGTGGCAATGACAAATCCCACTCAAGTGTGGCCCTCTTATCAGCTGGGTCACACGGAGAAGGAAGAGAGCCATGTCGGGCGAAAAGACTGACCTCGGGCATCTCCTCAGTGATGATGTCCACCTGCTGGGCGGGGGCAATGTCCTCATCGCTCTCTGTGTGCAGTGAGCTATGGCGCCGTGGCTTGCCCTTCTTCTCCTTCCTCTTCTTCTTCCGCCTGTCCTTCTCCAGCCTCTGCTGGTGCCGCCGCTCCTCCTCCAGCTTCACATACTGCTCTGAGGTGGGCAGCCCTGCAGGCATGGACAAAACACGCAGCCCTACCTGACTCTGGCCCCAAAGCCATGCGCAGGCAGCCTGGGGATCCAGGGGACAACACTCTACACCCCACTTACACTAGAGGATAAAGGGACACATGGCACTGCCCCTTGAACCACCTAGCCGAGCGTGAGGGCTTTCTGAATGATGGTCAGGGACTGGGCTCCGGGTTTCCTCGCCACCCGTCACCAAGGGACTCCCTGTCCCTATGCCACCTACTGTCCCTAAATTGCAGACACTTGCCTGGCACCTTTAGGGGCACTGAGAGGTCAATCTGTACCACAGGTATGTGCTCCACACCTGGTGCATCCTGGTACCGCTGCAGAAGCAAATAGCAAACCATTATTGAGCAAGATATACAGTAACACCTGAAGAGGGGGCACTGCCCAGCAATAAGGCGTGTTGACACCACAGGGGAGCAAGGATCCTCCTGGGAGATAGTCTTTAGCATGAACAAGTATAGAACAAGACACAAAACTTCCATTAACTTATCCCCTCTGAATTTTTTTTTTTCAAGTCAGAAAAGTAAAGTAGGTTAGAAACCTCAGTGACATGGCAGACATGTCCCTGAAGGCAGATCAAAAAGGCAGACACCACAAGTGCCTGGTGGGGAAGGGTCTCTGGGTCCCTCAGGAAGCCAACCAGTCACCAAGAGACCCAGCAATCCCAAGGGATGCACTCAAGTGTCTGCCACATCTCCTGTGGGATGTCCTAAGTGTCCTCTGTCAGGGGTCCACTGGGTGAAGGCTGCCACCAATGAGGGTGGGGAGCACCACCCCAAACTAAGTTGCAGAATGTTCTTGCCAGGTGGAGCGTTCCCCCATGTGCAGTCCCCACCTGCCTAGAGATGCCACCTTTGCAGCTTCTCTGCCTGTTGGTCAGAGTAGCCTGACTTACAGTATCATGTGTGTGACTTTCTTCCAGGTCCCAGTGCTTGGAAACCCCCCCAGTCCTGCCACATGGCTCTATGAAGATAGCCCATTGGTGTCCTGCAGATGATGGCTCCTGGTCCAACCGAAAATGGACTGGATCCCTGCAGGGCTGGTAGGATATCCCTGTAGGATGTTCCGGGCAGGCCTCACCTTTTGGGGGGATGGGGAACTTTTGATGTAGAAGGGGTTGTTGGCCTGTTCCTGCTTCCGGGCTTCTCGACGCTATAGGGACAAAACTCAAGGTCAGTGAACATGTGGAGTATAAGCCCTCATTCCTTTCCAGGTGTAGGCCACCTCCATGCTCTAAGCCCCATGAAGAGGCTGGGGCTTCCCAGTATTTTCACTATGGGCATTTGACTGGCAGGAATACTGAGGTGGGCAGTGGGAAACAGCAGGTGTGGGGCTAGGCACACGGTGACAACAATCCCAGGAGGCAGGGACCAACTTCTCCACTTCAAGGATGGGGTCTCACGGGAGGCACAGCCAAGACAAAAGCCAGTTCACACTACCCGAAGTCTTGGCCTGGAAGATCCAGGACAGTCCAAAAGTGCGGTAGAGAAGCTCCCGGGGCGAAGGAGCATCCCTAACCTCGGAAAGAGAAGCCAGACATGGTGGGGTGGGAAGCCAACGGAATAAAGCATCTCTGTACTTTTCAGGGCTGTGTACACCCTACATGTTGTTATAAAGTCCTGTCCCCTGGAGACCATGGAGCTGCTAGAAGTGTGCGGAGTGCACCTACAGGGTTCTGGGCGCCAGATCAGCCCCATATGGGTCTCTCCAGGGAGTTCAGAGGTCAAGAGAAGCTTCTCCTCATTTCAACAAAATTCAACTCTGGTGTCAAGGACTGCTGACCCAGCACTTCATGGAGGTCAGTGGGACTCAGCCTGAATCCAGCAGGACCATGCACAGCTTCCATTAGCTCAAGGTTCAGAGCCTACTCTGAATGGACCAACTGCCCTGGAGCTGTGGTGCTCACCCGGGCCAGCTCCTCCTCATCAGCCTTGGGCGGCGGCTGCTTGGCGTGGCGTTGATCCTCGTCATGGAAGATGGCCTTGGGTATCTCATCCTCAGATTCGCTGTCTGACGGTGGCTCGTTGATCCAGGCGTCCAGATCCAGGCTGCAAGGCACAGCAAGGTCACATAGTGGCTCCAGACTATGTGCCCAATGCTGGAACACTTTAAAGCAGGAGTCATAGAAGATGAGGCAAACTCCAAGGGTCCCTGGGGTCTGGGCTACCCCTTATGGCCCTTCCCATATTCTGGGGCCCCCACGCAGGCTCTCATTGCTCCCGAGGTTTGTTGGTGAGGGGTGCCATCAGACCCACTTCCTGGGAGTGGCACCAAAGATGGGGTCAACAAGGCCCCACAAGAACTGGTGAGCACCCGGTATGGTCTATGTGATGGGGGTCCATCCAGCCCATGGGGGGCTCAGGCACAGGAGACCCTTCCTCCTTCCCAGACTCAGGTCTAGGGTGCAGTACTGCTCCCACCGCCCCTCTTGGGGCCACAAACCCTATCCCTGGCTCTGTGTCCTCTGATGGGCTGCATGGCTCACCCTTCGGGGACTGGAACCTTCTTCTGGGCCTTGGGAGCCACTGGGTTCAGCTCCCCAGCAAAGAGGGCGCTCACTTCTTCTGCTACTGGCACATCCTTGGCCTGAAGCTTTTGGATGTGCTTAACCAGCTGTAAGATGCAGGATGCCTGTGGGGGCCGTGGAGGAGCCATAAATGAGTCAAGGACCACAGGGTTCTGAAGGCCACCTGGCAACCGCAAGGCATCACTCAGACCCCCCGGGAACCCAGCCCAGGGAAGGACACTCCACTGATTTTTGGCTAGAGTCCTGCAGAGGACATCTGCAAGGCTTTACAAGCCTTTGGCTGTGGAGGGACCCAGCCAGAGAGGAACTAGCCCTGGCTCCCAACTCCTCCAGCAGAGAGAAGCAGGAGACAAAAACAGGCCCACAAGCAAGATACAAGGGTCATGACGAGAGCACCATCCCCCAAGACAACTGCGCAGAGGAGGCTGTGCCCAGCAGCACTGTGTGTTTCAGACTCAGGGTTCAGAAGTACAGCCCACTGACCCCACATCTGCTGATCATACACTTAAATCTGCTTCTATTTGTCTACAAGCTCCTCACAGCCCTCGCTGGGCTTCAGCTGTGCACTCCCACCCCCAAAGGTTCTGCTGGCTGGTGCATACCCGTTCCTGGACCTCCAAATCTGCACTCTGCACAAACTGTGGCAGCCGCTCGACCATGAACCGGGTGAGCTCTTGGGCTGCCTCAGCATCTGAGTCCCGCTCCTTCTGCTGCAGGATGGATGCATACAGCTTCACCACATTCTGCACATACACAGCCTGGATGTGACCAGGCAGGGTGGTAACTTTGGGCCGCAGCATGGCCTCCAGGGTCTGGTGGGGCTCCTGTAGGTGCCTAAAGTAAGGAAGCCCAGTGAGCCAAGGAGAGGGGTCTTGCACTCAGCCAAAGAGGCAGGCCACTCCCAACCCCACCCAGGATCAGGGGTTGGGAGAGGGGATTTAAGGGGAAAAAACATGGCAACAACGTGACTATCACAGAGTAGCTGAATGGAAAAGATCTGAGGACAGAAAAGGGAAGGACAGAGTTTAGTAAGAATCTGATGGACCACTTGTAATGAACAAGGACAGGAAGGAAATCTGGGAAAAGACCCTGTGCCTGTGACGGGTGGTACATGGGTCACAGGACTTAAAAGGGTATTTCCCAGTGAGAAAGCAGCAGATACTGCCAGTCCAGAGCTGGAGTGCTCTGTGATGGGGAAACTGTGTTCTCAGAACAGGCTTTAGTATAGCGGGTGTCAGGGAGGGGACAAGTCTGCCAAGCACACTCCCTCATCCTTTTCTCTTGGAAGCACAGGCCCCGGGAACCCCTTTGAGCCTACTCACTCAGAGAACTCCCCACAGATCCAGGCAGCAGCGTAGAGCACCTCGCAGATCCCATTGCGCTGGGTGCTACTGGCCACAAGGTGAGCGCTGTCCAGCAGCACAGACATCTGCGACACAGCGAACCTGCGGATGGCCTTTACTCGGATGGCCACGTCCAGCATCTGTGCAGCAATGAGGTGTCCATGGCGGGTGCCTTCCAGCCGGGTCAGCTCCACCAGGATGCTGATATACCTGTGGGAGGGAGCCACTGAGATGTGCCCACCATGAAGCTGGTCCCTGAGTCCCCTGGGCTAAGCGTGGGGACGCACCACTCAAAGTTGGTGATGTGTTGGTAGTTGGACTGGCTACAGATGTCAATGATCTTTGTGAGCAGCTCATCCCGGTAAGTCGTGCCTTCAGCTTTATCCACGTGGGTCATCAGCTTCTTGACAATCTCCATCAGGTTCTTCTTGGACACCTATGGGAGGGCCTGATGTGAGAGGGTCCAGGCGTGGGAACTGGGGACAGTGACAGACACGACCCAGAAAGGGCACACACCATTCCATACAGGAGGTCGAGGGCTCGCAGCCGGATGGACTCGTCCTTGTCATCCAGACACTGAAGAACAAGGTCTTTGTGGGCCTGCACAGACTTGGGGTGCGTTCTCAGGATCTTGGACATGGCCAGCAGCCCCAGGTACTTCACTAAGGAGACAGCGAAACATGGTTCAACTCACACACATCATAAAAGGCTTTGGGCCCAACACAGAGAAAGAGGCTCAATCTGAAGACAACCTGCAGCCTGGCCCTGACCACCTAGGCACCCTGGCAATGTGTCTCACTGCTGGCCTTCATTCTGGATGGCACTATAGACTCCAAGGGTGCTCTGAAGGGTGCAGTGGAAGAGCCAGGACTCAAGACAGGACAGCAAGAAGGTAGGTCTCCCCACCCACTAAATACTGTTAGCCTCTGGAAGAGCCAGGACTCAAGACAGGACAGCAAGAAGGAAGGTCTCCCCACCCACTAAATACTGTTAGTCTCTGCTGTCATCCAAAGTGGTCACCAACACTTTGTAAGAGTGGCAACGAGCATGACACCCACCTTCTTGCCCAGCCCATACCAAGCGGTGACAGAGAATTCCCAGGCTCCAAAGGCCCGGCGAAGACCTCACACATACCAAGGATCACAGTACACCCCTGAGGCAGCCCCAGTACAAGACCCTCCAAACCAGGCATGGCCCCTAGTCCGTGTCCAGTCCAAAGCCTGTTCTGTAAATGAGGTTTAACTAGCACATGGCCATGCCTGTTACTTACACGTCGACTAGCTGGCTTTCAAGCTACACAGCAGAAACTATGTGACCGCACACCTTAAGACTTAATGGCTAGTCCTGCTCTAAAAAAAAAACCTGAACTGAAAATGAGCAGTCAGGCCTTAGAAGCTCTGGCCCACTGCAGTCTGGCACCAGGTGGTGTTACTGACTGGAACCTCTGAACAGGACACATTTACAACAGAAGAGTGTGTATAGGCATGTAAGACCAGCAGGGTTGCTCTATGCCCGTCGATAAAGACATCAAGGAGCCTTGAGCTACCCTGATTACTGACAAGAAAGTCCTATGCATCTCAGTAGGAACATGTGCACAGCTCTACGGAGGGGAGTGACTTACAGTTTTGGTCGGAGTCTTCTATTAATATTCTTAACTTCTGAACACAGAGCTGCAAACAAGATGACATTGGTTACATCTCTTAAAGCAATGGTGAATGCAGTGACCTTCTCACGAACGGGGCGAACCTGTGTCACCAGGGCTTCCATGCTGTGGAACACTCAATGCTCAGGAGGGCTGTCTTTAAGTGCCACTGAGGACAAACACCTGCCACAGATGCATGAGAAGCACCCACAGGAACATTCACGTGACAACCTGGAGCTTTTCATGGGTGCCCACATGTGTGAGAACACAAGACAGCATGGTAGCATCTTCTCGGGAGAGACTGAGATCTGAGGACTTACTTTTATGTTACTTATGTAATAAAAATAAACGCAAACCCCCAGAATAATAGTGACAATTCCAATGATTCCCAGGCCACTTAGGGAACCCATAGGGCTTCAGGATGGACACAGCATTTACAGAGATCACAGACAAAGAGGCTAAAGATCCAAGATGGTGGGGGACCCTGACAGAGGGAATAAGACACAGACACAGACTCAAGCTGCAGGGGAAGACAGGAGCTGCTGGAGAACTCAGAGCTGTACCATGGCAGTCTAAGAGATGCGGTAGAGCCACTGGTTTGCTCCCTCCCAGGCATAGTGCAGGGCACAGGGCACAGGACATGAATGATGGGGGCCTATGAGGAGTGGGCCAGTATCTCTAACATTACAAGGGCAAAAGGCTTACAGGTCGGGGACACTGACAGGAGAAGAGGCCCAGCCTGTTGGCAGAGCCTCTGGACCCTGTGCCATGTCTGGCCCAGGACATACCTGGATGCTGGCACTGTGGTTAGGCATGCCCGAGGACAGCGAGATGAGAACTGAAACAGACAACCTTGCGTTAGACAGATGTCCACTCAACATGTCCAGTGTGTGCCCGGTGGGAGGGACCCAAGATTGAAATTGTACCACATTGGGAACTGCCTGGCCAAACTGACATTTGTGCAGGAAAGGTTTAACATAGCAGCCTGACCACTCTTCCTGGGAAGGCAGACTTGCAAGGCTATGAAGGCTGGCCCTCAGAAAAAGAGTCCAGGAGCTGAACTGGTGGCGGGGGCTCCCTGTCCCTAAACTGTACAAACATGTAATGTACGCAGACCTACTCTTCTTGCGGAGTCTGGAATCTTGCACATGCTGGGCAGAGGCACCTGCATGACCGGCCCCCAGTCAGAACTCTGGATGCTGGGTTCCCATGTCAAAAGAGCAAATCAAATGCCCAAGAATACCAGGTGTCTCTGTCCAGGGCAATTCCAAAGAGTGCAGGCCACACTGTCCTGCCCAGCAGGAGACCTGCTGCCCCTGCAGTATGCCACCCCCTGGACAGCCTCACCCAGGCTCACTGCCCTCTGCTGCATCCCCAACTGTTCTACCCATCTCGAAGGCAATCTCTGATCCTGCCATGCCCCAGTCCTCCCCATCAACTTTTCAAATGTAGAAGCCTATTCTCTGGGATCTGCGGCCACTACCTCCAGGCAGTGGCCTGTCCCAAATGCCCACCCTTTCTTCTTTACTGTCATTCATCAATCCTCAGAGACACTCATGGCCCAGGCCATTCAACTACAGGCATGGAGCACAGACCTTAGGCCAGTTTCCTGTGGGTCACTGAATTTAAGGCCTCCTATGGGTCCATGAAACTGCTTCCCAACAGCTTTGGCAAGGGATGGGCGAAGGGACAAGCAGGGACAGGCAGACAGCTAGTAGTTGAGCCCCTTGAGCCTCCAGTTCTCACTGCTAGTAAGACACCCAGCTGTAGGGACACATGGCCCAGACAGCAAACCAGGAGACAGCCAGCCAGTCAGGCCCAGAAGCAACAACTTGAATTCCATCAGACACAGTGGGGAGAGACTACAATTCCTCAATGGTGTGGACATGCATTATCAGCATTCTATGTGGGCCTGGGCCAAATCCTGACCGCAAGAAAGGCCTGTCAGAAGAGCTATTGAGGAGCACCTATGATTTCATCTCCTAAGACTGTGTTGTGGATTCCTACACCTAAGTGCCTACAAGGGAAATGGTTTGCTTTAACATACTCAGGGAAAACAAGGGTCTGTTGACAGGCATGATGGATGGGACAATGGAATTTGACACTGGAGGCCAGTGGTCTCTGGCTGTGATAGCTCCCACAAGGCTGGGAGTGGCTGAGAGATGGAAATGCTCAGAGACAGAAATAAACATCCAGCACTGAAGGCAGGTGGGAATTTGGTGGAGAAGGCTGGGAACCTGATTCCAGGTGACCTTGCACCACACTGGCAGGGCCTAGGAATAGCCATCAGGGACAACCTGTCGCAGGCCCTGCCACCAGGACAAGCACCCTCTTGTTCCCACCTGAGATCCTCCGCCAAGGTGGGAGCAGGGGAGGGCCTCCCACTGACAGCCACCTGTTTCAGAACGAGGTAACTGGTTCTCACCTGCGATGACAGTGTTCACACATTCGTAGAGAAGGGACATGGCAGACGTGCTAGAAAAGGAAAACAGAGATGTGAGGACTGCGATGTGCTGCTCTGAGAGACACAAAAAGACCCAAGTGCACTGTGTCTGAAAAAACATGTTCGTGTCAGTAATTGGTCTATGACATTTAACATCTGCAAAGCCACCTTGGGGATGTTCTCACCCATTGACCTGGCCCCTCTACTACCCCGATCTAACGTGGGACAAGGGTTGGCATCCTGGCTCCTGCTCGTGCTCCAGGCATCCAGTATTTCTGCTTGGTCAGTGAGGCCCAGAGGCTGCTGTCTCACCTGAGTCTTCAGAATGCTCTGAAGGGCAAGAGCAGCCCATCTACTCACCACATGCAACCTGAAACACTCCCTTCCTTAGAAGCCTATTCCCTTAACCTTTTAATTGTGTGACACTCATGAGGAAAAGCCAAATTCTCCACTTACTTTGGCAGCATTAAGACGATTTTACCAGCCCCAAACACCACTGCCAGATTCTATTCCACTGGGGAAGCCAGACATGGCCACATACAGGCAGGCAGATCACAGAAGTCTGTGGCCCTAATACCCTCGCAGGGCATCTAGGGGTCATGGGGAGCACAGCCCAGGCTGACAACCAAGGTGGGAATGCTCTTGAGCCCAATCACCCGAACCCCGGAGTGTGGAGGCTGTATGTTCCAGAAAGCAGGGGCAGTCAGAGCCAGTCCATGTCCCTGGCCACACAACCGACAGCCTCTTGTTAATCTTCTCTGAAAACCGTAACTACAATGTAAACTCTGTGACCTGCTACTTATATAAAACCTAAAATGTCCCATGCTCAGACACCTGTTGTACCTAATAACCCTGTAACATCTAACTGGTTTATGAGCCAGGAGCTTGAAGCTCAGGAGACAGTGGAAACCTGTCTAAGGCATGGATTTCACGTGGAGGAGTACGTGGCTCTGATGAGCACGGGGACCCTGACAGCTACCAACTGGACCCCGGTGAGATCAGGGGTACTCATCAATAAGGGGTGGGGGATTATAACAAGCAATAAAAGGGGTCCTCATCATGCTGGCTATTCCATGTGCAGCACCCCTGCTTGTGCCTGCCACTGTGTCCATCACCTGTGGGCACAGCTCAAACCCCCAACTGCTTGGGGCCCTGACCACTACTGCTCCCTAAAGATGGCCTCATGGCTTCAGTCCCTCCTGTTGTCTGTGTCTGCACCACGAGGGGACTCTGGGAGTAGATCTACTAAACCACCTGCCACTCAGCCTCCATGAGTCAACTGTAGGCATCTTAAATGGCATGTCAGCTCTTAGAGCCTCCCAGAACTAACAACACATTCATCTAAGGTCTTCACTGGGACAACTGAAGTCTGCTGGGTGCCTTTCTTTCTTTTGTTTGTGGTGTTTCAAAAACTGAATGAAGAAAAGCCAGCCCAGCCCATGTCCCAGGAGGGCCAGCAGGTGCCAAGGCACAGCTTCTCATCTGCAGCAAAGTAAAAAAGCGTGTGTTTGCTTCTCTATCCCAAGAGACTTTCCTTGGGCTCACCCCTCCCATACACAAGCAGCCTCCCAGGAAGCACAGGCCTGTCCACGGCGGGCATGCCAAGGACTGCTGTTGTGTGGCACATGCGCATGCATGTGCACTTGTGTGTATGGCACTGGAGACAGAGAGGGCCCTGAGACTCACCTGTGAATCAGGTTGGTGAGAGGCTCAATCAGCTTCTTGCCCAACCTTGGCTCCAGGGGGGTCAGAGCACCAAACTAGGGGACAAGAAGCCCGGGTCACAGCCAGCAGGAGCAGGACAGCACATCTGGAGTTCCTCATGACCACGCCGACCAACTCCAATCCCCACTCCCTCCTAGCACTGAGAGTTCCCAGGATGCCCCCATGGCCTTTCCACACATGAAAAGGAGAAGGAAGGTTGGGGACACTCGCCAATTTGATGATTTTAATGAGGACCCAGTTGTTGGTTGAGGAGGTCATCAGCTTGAAGAACAGTGGGGCCAGAGACAGGTAGTTTTTGGGGTTGCGCCTGGCCAGCTCACAGATGACATTGACTGCCGCCGACTGTACACCTGTGAAATCGGAGAGGTCCTTATCAATAAGCAAGGGTGGCATCCTGATCAGTAAGAAGGGGGTCCCTCAGTAGGCTGCCTATTCTGTGTGCAGGGACCCTGCTTGTGCCTAGCACTATACCCATTACCTTTAGGCACAGCTCAAACCCTCAACCCTTTGGGGTCCTGACCCCAATCACTCTCCAGAGAAGATGGCTTCATGATTCCGGCTCCTCCCACTGTCCACATCCACCTCACCACAGAAGAGGACCCAAGGCTATGAGGCAGGTCCCTGAAGGATCAAAGTAACCCCAGAAGCATGATGCCCCCCACATGAAGTGACTGCACCCCTCTCCACCCAGGATGGCAACCACTCCCACCCCTAGCTCACCACATCTGCTGCCTCGGCTGTTACTTTTCCAGCCAGGACTATGTGCACCCTGTACTTCTCTGTGACCCATAGCAGAGTTCCTGAGACACATCGAAACTTGCAGTAGATTTAGAGAAGCTAGTGTACACCTGCTCAGCCCAGGTTTCCACAGAGGAGAAAGGAGTGACAGAAAATGACGGGCAAATGGAGGGCTGGAATGAGCCCTGTGGTGTGGGATGGCAGTTGAAGCATCAGAAGAAACTCGTGACTGCTAAGTTGCAGGCAGGCAGACACCGCCCTCCCCAGGGTATGGGCATGTGCTGAGGGCCTAGAAGATCACCACTGCAGCAGCATGAGCACACCCAGTGCCCCAGTGTCGGTTTCTAAATCCCGCATCAATATAGGAGACCAGCACTGCTTAGAGAAATGGCAGGTCCCAGGGCTGAACCTGCTTCCTGTGGTGCAAGGAAGTAAAGAGGTGCAAAGAAGGGAGCAGTCTGTACCCAAAGAAGGTAGGGGTCCTGGGCGTAGTGCCCTCAACGCCTTCCTCACAACACCCTCTACCACGTTCTAGATGCTGGTGGAGCCCTGCAGCCCAGCATGATCCCCATCTTAACTCAAATTAACAAACCGGGGTCAGGGTCCTCCAGCTTCTCTTTCAGGCGGGGAAAGGCGGGACGAAGCGACTCGGGGTACTTCAGGAACACCTTGTACATGATCAGCACGGCCTTCTTCCGGATGTACGGTTTCGTGTGTGACATCTATGGGAAGAGAAGACCATCAGGCTTCCTTCAGCACTGCACTCCATGCACCTACCTTACGCGCCTGCATGCTCACCTTCCACACCACCTCCATGTCTGACCTGCGCTGCCCACCTGCTGTGCATACCTTCATCCTCACCCTCCTACACTGCCCTCCTCAACTCCTACACCTGCCCGTGTCTCACCATCATTTCCCAGAGAAAAACCCTCTTTCCAGCTTTCAGTCCCACATGCATATCTGCTGTGCAGCCCCACCAAGCCCAGGTTATCATACAACAGTGTCTTGGGCAGGGTCGACACCTGCCTCCCTGTGCCCAGGACACTAGGCTTGTCCTCCAGAGGCCAAGACCCTCCTCCTGGGCTCACTAGGGTGCACCAAGGGGCGGCGAGGGATGGTGAAAAGAAGTTCACAATAGAAAGAGAACCTCTGCCTATCAACGTTAGCTGCAGGTTGTCCAGGCTGCCAAGGCCTGTACCTAACCCAGTATGCTGAAGGGTATCCCAGACTCCCCTCACCTGGGCCTCGGTCTGCTCTGCACCTCCACACTGCACAGCTCCAGAGCTGTCCTCCTGGGACTGTGCTCCATTGCTGAAGGCTTCTCACCCCCAGATTGGGCACACTCTTTACCTGTCAGAGGCCCAGGGAGCTGCCCCCTAAGAAAGCTGTCCCAGACCCCTGTGACCTGGCACCAACACACACGGTGAGCAAGTCTCTCATGCCCCGCTGTGGACTCATACTGCTGTCAACTAGTCCGTGTCTGCACACTCTCTTTTAAAATTGATTTGAGAGAGAGAAAAAAAACATTGATTTGTTGTTCCACTTACTTATGCATTCACTGGTTGCTTCTTGTATGTGCCTTGACCAGAGACCTTGGTGTAATAGGACGAGCTCTAACCACCTGAGCTATCTGGCCAGGGCCTCAGCACACTTTCTGAAAGCACCTGATGGTCAATATTTTTGGCCTGATGGGCCATAAGGTCTCTGTCCAAATACCTGGCACTGCCTTTGAGCTCTGAAGCCACCAGAGACATCAAGTGAACAAATGGATTTACAACAGATGGCTGTGGTGTGCTGGCCCTTGACCTAGAAGCTGATTGCACTGACAGTCCTTAAGGCCATGGGCTGACTGGTAAGGACAGGAGCACCCTCCACATGACTTCAATATGACCAACCAGGAAAGCAGCACCTCCTTCATCCCACTGTAAAAAGGCTGAAGACCTGGCACACGGTCATCATCTTCAATAGCCATGATTTCTAGAAGGATGTCTGTATTTAGAATGACATTCCAGAACTGGCTGGGGTTATGCCTTTCACATCAACTGGATTGTGAGAAGTCAAATTGTGACCAGACATAAATAAATGGCATCAGGAATGCAGAAGACAAAAGATCACCCTAATGACACTGCCTGTTGAGACAACTGAAACTGTCACCTAAACCTCAGTAAGAGAGTAACTGATGACAGGTCACATGCCTAACCTCAAGGGTGATTGCCCTCAGCCAGACCGTATCTGCCAGGGAAACACGCCCCTTCCCCAAGCGGGACTATTTCAAAGGAGGTGAAGAATTGGAGAATGACAATGGCCTGAGGTCAGGTCCTACAGGTGATGGAGAGGAAAACAGTCCCCCCTGCCTCCAATCCCAGGGATCACGGCCCATTTCTGAATGCCTGAGTGTTCTTGGCGTGAAGTTTTAGCCTCGGTTTCCCGGGCACCCATGCATTCCAAATCACTCATAGAGCAAAGGCCCAGTGGTGGCAGCACGCTCACAAACTCACCAGTGTCATGATATCATTGGCCAAGTCTCTGGCAAGATCTGGGGTAACAAAACAGGACAGTCCAGTCAGTGCAACACCAGTGTCGTACTGGCTGGGGCTGCTCAGGTCCTGGAAAAAGAGGGAGAAGGGTTAGGGGGCAGGCGGCAACCGTGCATTGCCCAGGTCCCTGATGTGCCCCTGCTGGCCTGAGGGCAGCCAGTTCCTCACTGTCACCGAGAGAAGAGCCAGGGTGGGTATAAGAGGAGGGCTGCACCTCAGTCCCAGCAGAGCCCATGTCCCAGGCATGTGACTGCGGCTGACCTCTATGCCTGTAAACCCAGGGCTGAGGAGACAGTGTGGCCAGGGAGCCCCACCGCAAAGCGGGAGACCTGACACCTCTAACTCTATTGGGATGTCTCCCTTACAAGAGCCAGGGACCACTCCTCTGGGCCCCTCCTCAAAGCAAAAAGACAGACCTACGCCTTATCCTCCAGGTGAACAGGAAAACCAGCTATGAGGAGGGGCACACGCCTGCCTCTGCATGCCCCCCATCAAAGTCACTCACCTGCAGCCCTCAATGTCTAGTTCTAACACCAACCACAGGAGCACCTCATCTTAAAACTAAGAAAGTATTTGTTTTATATCACAAACTTGTTTTTATGGAGACATTTTCTGAGGAACCTCCTAAAACTTTTTATATGTGAGTGTATGGTAAAAACAAAAACAAAACAAAAAAACCCCTAAAAACCCTGATGTATAGTAACAGTTAAGCTTCTAGATTATGCTAGTAATATTGAAAATGTTGGCTTTTAAAATCCACTCCAGCCAAGGCTGAGAAGACAAAAACACATCAGAACCCACAGCATAGAACTCGGTCCCTGACCGGCAAACTTTCCACCTCCAAGTGATTCGTAAAGGCCTGAGCAAAACATGACCATCACGGGGAGCTGCAATGGGGGCTTCTCAGAAATGGTGGTGCGTGGAGAGGACGCTCAGTCATCATCAAGAGGGAGAGCCCCAGCCCTGGTGGGGATGTCTGTGGCAGCTGTGTTCCTTTAGTCTCAGGTTCATTTAAAATGGCACACACAGGGACTGCCAACACTGGGGATGTGAATGGAAAGGAATGGCAGAGGCACACAGGGCCGTGGCCGTGAGTGAGGCTGAGATGGACACAGGTGAGGCAGCAACAGAGGTCCAAGTCCCCTGCCTAGATCTTCCTATAATAGGGTGTATTGTTGGCTTATTATGAGGACATTCTCAGGTTTGGGTCATCTCCCCAGCAGAACAGATCTAAGTGACCCGACTCTAACACATCTCAATCTAAACCGGTGACAAATCTCTGTCTAAACCAAGGGGATAATGCTGTGCAGAGATAGCCAGCAGGAAAAGCAAAGCTGGGCTTCAGCAGGCAGGCTGGAGTCTGGGTACCAAGGTGGCCAGAGCCCCTCCACCCGTCCCCTCCCATTTACTGCTCACCCTACAGTGCTTGCCCAGTCCTCCCCCTCCTCCTCTCCAAGGCCACTGTTGGTCAAGCTCTCCCCCTGCGGCCCCATGGCATCTATAACACCCTGCAATACTGCGCAACCTGGCCTCCTACCCCCAACCCAAACTGTGAACATGGCAGAGTTAAGTTCGCAGACCCACATCTTGCCCCATGCCAGCAACAGTACCTGGCCAACGCCAGCACAGTCAGCCTGCCTGACCACAGTGTCCACCCAAGAGCTCATTCCCAGATCACTATATGGGGTGACCAGAGCTCATTGAGATCTGGCCCTGGCACCCATCCACTGAGAACCTGGGGCTACTGCCTCCAACATGTGGTATGGGGTCAGGAAAGGGTGGGTCTCTGATTCTCGCTGACACCCTCTCCGACCACAGGAAACAAAAAGATGCTCAGAGTACTGGGGCCAAGAAAGAAATTTATTACTCAGCAGTCTTCAAAGCCCACTTTAAAACATAAACTTACACATAACTGAAATATACATGTGGTATGATGGAAGACCCAGTGGGCAAAAAACCGGCACACTGGGAAGGGTATGTAACGTCAACAGGCACTCCTTTAAGAGGGGCAGGACTAGAGAGGACCCATGCAGGCAGCTCTCCAATGCCAAGAAATGAAAAGGAGAAGAGGGCAGGTTCAGTGAGCCTCCACTTCTCCCACCTACCCAGGCAAAAGGGAGACCTGCTTTCCACATGAGGGTGTGTCTTGGGAATGACGTGACCAAGAGCAGAAGACTGCTCAGTAAGAGAATTGTGATAGTAAGATCTTGTTGGCCTTAGTGCTTTCTATTCATACACGAGCAACAGAAAAGCCAGTGGGAAGAACAGATATTCACATGGGGGCCTAGGAGACTGCAGGGCCTATGGGAAACGTAGCTTACCTTGCGAATCTGGTTTGTTGTCAGCATGATGACATCAGTCCCTTCATGAAAGCACTGGGAAGCAGCGAGGTAGCCAATGCGCTGTCAAGTTGAAACAAAGTTGTCCAAGGTAAGACAAGGAGATCACGCAGTATTCGTGGACATACCCAGCCTTTCTCCTGAGCTTGGCACCAAGCAGCCCCAGCCCTTGGGTCGGAATGGGGATGTCATTCAGAATCCAAGCTGAGGGTCTTTAAAACTCCAGAAGTGTATGATCTTTGAAATAAGATGTTCCTTTAAGGTCTGCCAAACCATGGGGTCCTGTTACCAATGTTGTCTTTTCACTTGTCAACCAGGGACTGCATTTATGATCTAATGCAGTACGTCATGCTGAGTACTGTTTGTTTTTTAGGACTCTAAGCTCTCCGCCAGGCTGACACGGCTATCTAGTCACACTCACACAGGTGTACGATGCTTTAATACACATGCGGAGCACTGTCCCAATTTTGGCAAGTGTGGCATTTCATTTCTAGAAGAGTAATCAGCAGGAAGGACGACCGTGTCCTTTAGAGGGAGCCTGGGCTTGACCACAGCAGAGACCCATAGGTAGGTGCTCAAGGCCCTCAGGGCTTGAACAGTCTCAACAGCCTGGCTGGTGTATAGTCTCATTGAAAACCAAACTAACCCAGGAGAATTCCAGAACACCCACAAATGGATGAGGGAGTACAAACCAGTTTTTGAGAATATGTACTAAAACAGGAGACATACTTATAATATGAAATGAGAAAGAGTGTCCCAAATTGCTCACAAGTAGGATCCCTCAGAACATGACCAAGTGGCCACAGGACAATGTGCCAAGTGGTGGCTTCTGGGTGAGATAATCAGTGTCTGGTTTTTTATTTTGAGGAGTTACAAATTCATTTTGAGTTTAAAAATATATAACCAATCCTATAAACCCATAATTTTGGATAATACTTAAAATTGAAAGAAAAATACATAAGTAGTGGTAATAAATAATTTGACAAAAAATGGAGGTGCAATGTTCGAGTGGCTAGTTTCACCACATGAATTTGCCTCAGCAGGTTCTGGTGCCTGGAGATGTCCCTGCAGATATGCTGCTTGTGAAGCTAATTGGATCCTGCTCTGATATTATCTGAAGCTGGCCACTGGGCGTGTTGGTTCTGGGCCTAGGGACTCTCTGGTGCAGACCAATGTCTGACGCTGCCTATGACTGACCCGGGGCAAACTACTTGGAGCTACAAAGCAATCCACCATTTCTGGCTGCTTCTGCTGGGCCAGGGTGTGTGCAAAGGACCAAACTGCAGGCCAAAGATGGCTTTTACCAGCACTGGGTTTGGAGGCAGGTCAGCAAGTCCTAAGGCCTCTCTGCCTGCCTGCTGCCTATTAGGCTCAGTCACTGAATGTCACTAGTTTCTTGTTACTGTTTTTTCCCAGTGTGGCCTCTGGCCATAGGATGAACTGCAAGGATGCCGAGGGGGCTCCCTCCTCCACCAGGGACTCGCCCTGCCCCCAGTCCCCATCACCACAGGGTTTAGGCCCTAAAGCAAACTCACCTTAAACGTAAACTTGGAGGCACTCATCACTTCTATTATGTTGAAAGCAGCCCAGCTGATGTCGTATCCCAACATTTGCAACTGTTGGGAGGGAGAAACAGTGACTCACAAGCCAAAGCCTAAGCCCTAACATTCAGCATCCCAGCTCCCAGAAGGAAGGACACATGCCACTCGCACTCTCAACACACAGGCTTCACCCAACACACAACCCTGGACATTTCATTTCCTTTGACCAGTTAGTCTTTGTGATGAGGACTACAAGGACAGCAACAAAGTTACCTAATTTGTTATAAGGTCAGTAACAGGAAGGATAAATGTCTGCACCTGAAATCCTAGCATCCTGTGTACTGGTTAAAATTCTCTGTAACAATATTCATGAAACCTACAATGTGATGGGATCCCCACCCTGGCAAACCCCAAGTCTTCCTTCTCTGACTAAGAAAGAGGCCAGGAGAGGGGTGCCTGGCTCAGGCCCCAACACCAACCAGGGGCTGCAAACGGAACACTGCAGAGAAAAGTGCTCAGGGTGGTTCAGAGCTCGCCCACCAGGCTCCTCAGCACAGCCCAAAGGGGAACTGAGGGCAAGGGCTGCACTGGACTCTGGGTCAGCTGGGTCAGGGTCTCCACCATGCCCTGTGCCATCTGATAATAGTTGCTCACCTCTCCCTCAACTGTTAAGAATTTGCCCTGTGTGCCCAAGGCCAGCGCCTTGAGCTGACGGAATCAATTAGTATTTGGCAGGCGGACAAATGGGAGACCAATGGATGGAGAGATGGATGGACAGATAGTCAAATGGATGGTAGGCAGGTGGAGGTTGGATTGATGCTGGAGTTGATAACCAGCCTGACAGCACCAGGGGTGCAGGAGAAGGGCAATGCATGGAAGCGCCGCCTGAGCACTCACATACGTCAGCTTGCAGACGGCATTTGCTTTGACTGCGATGTTGTCCTGCTTCAGTTCCTGCTTGATTTCATCAATGCACTGAGAGATATACTTTGCCTATAAGGGAAAAAAGAGAGAGGGAAATTAGGAGTGCCTGACTAAAACAGTTATGAGTAATTATTTCAGAAAGAAGCCAGACCCAAAACAAAAAGTCACACAGTATTATTTGATTCCATTTATGTGAAAAGTCCAGAACGATAAAATCCAGAGACAGGAAGTGGATTTGGGGTTATCAGGGGCTGGGGAGTAGGATGAGGGTGACCACTGATGGGGAGTGGTTGCTTTCTGGGGTGAATATTCTAAAACTAATTGTGTGCTAGTCACACAGCTGTAAACATACTAAAAGCCACTGAATTCCACATCTAAGAAAGCTGTGATTTAAAAAGCCATTTCAATGTGATGTAAGGGACATGGTATGGGGGCACCAATGGTTAAAGACAGCAACCAAGCGCCAGGGTCCAGCCTTGCTCCTACGGAAGAGGGCCAGCAGCCCAACCAAGTCACTTGGTGAGGACTGCAGAGTGCTCATTCCATTCTATTTCATTGCAATGTACAAAATTGTGTTTGTATATAGAATAAACTCTGTTGACAGAACTGGCTTCACCATCTTCCTCCTGAGGGCAGGAACAAGAGTGAGGCTGGAACAAGAGTGGTTGGTGAGGGGAAGGAAGGGCCAGGCCCCGTGGCTTCCCAGAAGTGTCAAGGTGTACAAAGCACAACCAGGCCAGAGTGGGTTGGCAATGGGATCGCCTGCCTGTGAGGGTACACAGAAGGAGCCAGGCTGGGTGAGGGCTAGGAGAAGATTGGCTATGAGAAGCCCCTCCTGCCCGTAGGGCCCCAGGCATCCAGTTGCTCCCAGGGTACCAAGCACACCCAGCTGTCTGCACACTCAGCCTACTCCTCTGCACCAAGGTCCCGGGTCCCCTTTTTCTGAACTTGCAGCCTCTCCTGAAGCAGCAGCGAGCTTGACTAGGCATCTCTGTCTGTGGCTCCCTTGCCTTTCTGAGCGTGATGTCAAGGCTCATCCAAGCTGCAGCAAGCATCAGTGCTTCATTCTGGTTCCACCATGTGCACACAGACGCCATTGTGCCTGTCCTGTGGATGGACACTGTATGCAAATAGATGACACAGTGTGCATATAGACCACACTATGTCTATCCATTCCTCTGTGGACAGTTGGATCTTTCCCACTTTTTGGCTCCTGTGAATAGTGCTGCTATTGTCATTTGGGTACAGGGATTTGTGTGTACATGTTTTCAATTCCCTTGGGCTTCCCTGTTAACTCAAAACATCTTCTAAAACACCATTCAAAAAAGATTTCACCTGCAGCAGTACTAGTCCACAAAGTTCAGAGCAAGTGATGTACCTACTGGGAGCAGGGAACAGTAAGGTGCAAGGCTCCTATTATGCACCCTGGGAGACACACCATGGAAGCCCCAAAGAGAACTGAAACCTGCTGCGAGGCAAGAAGTGGTCATCATGGGGTCCAGAATGAGTCTGTCCAGCACTCCATGAAGCATGAGGAGCTCCCCTCAGTTATTTGGTCAAGACCGACAATAACTGTCCAGCTGGAGGCAGGATTTGTTTCCCTGCTGTGCCATCGAGAGAACCTGCCTCCTAGCGCCCAGGGCAGCAAGCACACAAAGCAACAGCAGACAGCGGGCTCCTACTCCAAGTGCGCCACATGCTACCTCTCATACTCCAGGCTTGGTTCTTGGAGGGAGGTCCCAGCAGTACCCGCCATTCACACGGTACCCTGGACCATACCCTGAGACCCTCAGCTGCCCCAGCAGTCTCAAAGAGAAAAGAACTGCCTGAGTGCCCGGGGCTACAGAATGGCTTATGAATATTTTATAATCAAGAGATGGTACAATGGAACAAGTGTCACCATATCCTTTCAACAGGCCTCAGATTACTAAATCCCACTCAGGGGACCTCAGCTTCTGTCCCTGTGCACGAATGACCCCTTCCTGTCCCCTGGATCGCAGCTATTAATGATTTAAAAGGGAAAGAACAAGACAATCACAAGTGTTGGAGAAATCAGCCAAACACAGCAAATGGGGGGGGGGGGTGAATGGTACAGCCACTATGAAAGACATTGTGGCTCCTCAAAAGGGTGAACACAGCACCCACTCCCAGGTGGACCCAGAAAACACTGACATCAGGTGCTCAAACACAATGGCACTTGAATGTATAACTTGTGACAGCTCCAAAGCAGAAACATCCCAAATAAATATTCACTGGCTGATGACAGACACACGATGTGATCCACCTACCCATGTTAGCTTTCAGAAGCACCAGGCAGGGTCGGTCCACTTCCACTAATGCTGAGCAGCTCCCTTCAGGCCAAGCCCCTACAGATATTAACAACTATCCAGACAAACTGGAGAACAAGCAAAAGCACTAGGGAATGTCCTGTTCTTTTTAGCTTTTATCTAGAGTGTCAGGCAGAGAAGTTAAGACCGAGAGGGGAAACCTGTGTCTAACTGGCTTCAAGAATCATAGCAGAGTTTGGGGTGAATATGGCCACTGGAAAGTGAGGAGGGAAATCCCAGAGGAGAGAGAGATGGTGACGGTTCCCACATTCTGCATATAAATTCCTCCCAAATCTCTGGCCAAAACCTGTTGGCTCTACAAGAACTATGCACACATAAGCACATTCCACACAACACAGCCAAAGCTAAAAAATAAAAAAAGTTAAAAACTTCATAGGCCTTGTGCCCTTGTAAGAGAGGCAGAGCTGGAATTTCAGCCCAAATGAATTAACTGGCCGATAAACCAACCCCCCTCTCCACAGAATCAATGCTCCTCAGAGAACACAACAGAATCCAGAGTCTCTACAATGTCCCATTTGCAATGTCGAGGGTGCAATCCAAAATTATTTAAAAGAAGAAACATGAGAATTCAAGAAGACAACCAATGAAGATGGCCCCGAGAGAACCCAGATGTTGAAATTAAAATATGAAGATTTCAAATTCAGCAACTGTAACCATGCTCTCATGGAACACAAAGAAAATGTACTCACAATGAATAAAAAGGGGGGGACATGTAAGCAGAGAAAGTGACAAAACCTCCAAAGGACTGGCCATTTGAACCCAAGGCACTGCTGTTGGCATGGGACGTATCCCCGTAGGCCCATGTGGCCATGGTGCTTCTAAGCCTCCTCCAGGTGTCAGCCTTTACCTAAGAACCCAGAAGGCAGGGAAGGAACTGTGGCGCTGAGATCCTCTGTCTCTGCCATGGACCCGCACCAAAACCAGGTGTAAGCCCAAAACCCCTTCCATTGAGCTGGTCACCAGAGACAGACACCTGGTTCTGAAGGAGATCCGAAATCTTCAGAAGAGCATACACCTATTGTTAAGGAAGAACCTCGTCAGCCACCTGGCAAGAAAAAAAATGTGTTAAATTCACTCATGGTATAGACTTCGGTTGGCAAGCCTGGGCCCTGTTGGCCCTTTAAGTGGTGGCAGAAGCGTTTCTAATACATCTCTTTCAGGACGCCAGTCTCCTCTCCCTACATACTGGCCATGCTACTCTCTTCCTGAAGGATGTGCAGCTGGCCAAGAGGATCCTATGCATTCAGGAAGGGCTTGGCTGAGCTGCCACCTGCCCCTGGATGATACCAGGGACTGTCTAGAGCCGGGACCAGATCCATGGAGTCCAAGGTGCTGCCTGGACTTGCTGTCTGTGAATAGAGTGTGCATGTTGCTTTTGTAATTGTTTTTTTTTTTTTTTAAAGAAGCAGACTGCAATAGCTTTCCTCTGCAACAATCACCATAGTTCCAGAGGGCAAAGAACTGTTTTCACATAAAGAGACTCCAATTTGTAAAATTATTCATGACTACTTTAGCAACTTTGAAGATATCAGATTTGTTGATATTTGCAGTCAGTTGCATGGAAGAGCCTGCCACATCTAACATACAAAGCTCTTTCCTTCAGCTTAACCTCATCAGTGGCAGCAGCAAGTGCCAATTGGGACTGTGCCTGTCAATCAATTGTAGCTTGTTTTCAAAAGCTTGTTTGGGGTGAAATTTGAAAACCTTTCGAGGTTTGATGTTCTGGTTCTTCTTAGTAAGTTTCTATCAAAATCATAGAAAGAAATTTTAACTTGTAGAATTTTATAAATTCAGAGGATGTAGCAGTTTACATTTTAGAATTTTTCATTGCAGGATTTTAAAGTGTTTTTTCAGGGCCAGGATTTAAACTAAGTGTGGCAGCCATTCTCTCTCTCTTGGTCATGCGGGTTGAAAGGGTGCAGAAGGACCCCTACCTGCCCGCCATGAGGAGGTGCCACATGGTTTGGATTAAGAGCTGGAGAACCCAGCAACATGGCTGATGGTGCTGGGGAACTCCGGGACCTGTCTAGCCAAGCACAGATTAATGGGAGATGTCTGAGATGCTAAACTGAGACCAGGGGAACGCTGAGCTGCAGATTTCTGGGGGGGTTTTTCCCTCCTGAGAGATGGTACCTCTAACTGGCCTGATGTAGCAAAAGGGAGGCAGGAGTGTGTGGGCGTGCGCTCATGGATATTTTAAAGGGAGTGGGACTTAACAGTAGAATTCCGCCATTATTCTAAATTGATGTAACTTTTAAATAAACTACTCCTTTCCTTTTTACCAAATTCTGGCACTGGGAGTTTTGGCAGCAGGCAATCAGGTCCAGGCGCATCTGTTTCAGAATTGCATAGAAGCTGGCATTCTGTTACAAAGAGACTCTGGAAAGTTGTGTGTTCAGAAGCTACCTCTGCTCTGCTGAGACTCATCTCCTCCAGCCTTCATCTGCTGGGGCCAGCCTCTTCTTCCCATCCAGGCAGGGCCTGCCTTTGCACTCAGTTCTACCTTTGTACTTTATGTCAGTGAACCGGCAGGTCACCGGTTTGATCCCCAGTCAGACACGTGCCTGGGTTGCAGGTTCAGTCTTCAGGGCATATATGAGAGGCAACTGATTGATTCTTTCCCTCTCTCTAAAAATAAACAGATAAAATCTTAAAAAGAAAAAACACACTGCCAACCCAGAATTCTTTACCCAAAATAATATCCCTCAGGAGTGAAGAAAG